CAGCAGTCATGACCCATCTAATCCCTTAAATGATGTTGCATTCTTACAGCCTTGTTAATGACCTTCAACCCTTTTCTTTCTGATTTCCTCTTTTGTTTTTGTTTAATTTTGTTCTGTTTTAATCTTAAATGAAGTAAAAGGAGAGGGCACCTCATTGATTTTAGCTGTTCTTTCACAAGGGGGAAAAAACTGTTTTTTGTTTTGTTTTATGTTCATATTGGTGGAAGGAATACCTCTAACCTGAGGGAATTTCCATTTTCATCTTAAGCTCTGGACTGTCATTCTGTCTGTTGAGCTTATATAGGTTTTTTGGTTTTTGTTTTGCCTAAGATTTAACTTTAAATTATTTTTATAATCCTTCCTCTTGCCAATGATGCAGCCAGCTTATAGAAACTTAAAGGTGGTTTAGAAAAGGAAAATTATTATTATGGAGATATTTCAATTTCTTTCTTCTCTCAGGTATGTTTCCCTATTGCCTCTTTAAAAATAACAACCAAGCCACCGCAGCGACCCACAGTTAAAAGGTCTGCTGCAGGGCTGAAGTTGTCTCTGGGAGATGGGGCCTATATAATAGGGGATCTGTGGGATCATGAAGCATGGGAAAACTTGAACATGGTTAGCTCTGTAGAACAATAGTTTGAACTTACATGTTTTCACATTGTAAATGTGAAACACATGAATTCACATGTTTTCTCTTGTCCACTTTTAGGTGACTAGTAAGAATAGGCAAATTTATTTCTTTAGTGCTGGGTGCAGCTCCGATTTACCTCTTTTAGGGTGAAGAGGCTAAAGGGCTTTTTGTGCTGCTGCTTGTCCAAATGGTCTTCAGTGAACTAGAGGAGACTCTTTAGAACAGCGGTTCTCAACCTGTGGGTCGCGACCCCTTTGGGGGGGGGGTCGAACGACCCTTTCACAGGGTTCGCCTAAGACCATTGGAAAACAAAGATACTTACATGAGGATTCATAACAGTAGCAAAATTACAGATATAGAGTAGCAACGAAAATAATTTTATGGTTGGGGGTCACCACAACATGAGGAACCGTATTAAGGGGTCGCGGCATTAGGAAGATTGAGAACCGCTGCTTTAGGAAGTTAAAGGAGTTAAGGACAGCTCATGTTAATAAATTGAGGTGCTTCCTCTGCTTTAGGGACGTTCTAGCTTGCCTGTGTTCTCTGAATTTAGCTTTGGCTTCATTCTTTTTTTTTTTTTTTAAGATTTTTTTATTGGGGAATTGGGGGTATGGGAACAGCGCTGGGGAATTGGGGAAGGGGAACAGACAAGTTGCTGTCCTTTTTTTTCTTCAGTCTAGTTGTGGAGGACGTTGCTTCACTGGCCCAAGTTGGCACCATCATTGCGCTCTTCCCAGGCGAAGCAGATCTGTTGCCAGCTTCTGGACGGCCGCTCACTGTGGCTGCTGGCCGCTCACACGGGCTGCTGGCGGCTTGATTCTTTTTTAAATAACCTTTTTCGGAAGGGTCTCTTCCTTTTTTAATCTTACGCCATATCTCAGCTCAGTGCAGCCATAACAGTCCTCAACAGTGAAAGTAACTTTGCCCTGCTCCAGCAGAAAGAGGGGTTTTAAAGTCTAAAAGGCCTCAGGCCCTACTGAACCCTCACCCTAAGCATGTAGCTCTTTGGAATTTATATAGTATCACTGGTTCAAATGATTTTCAGTGCAACCAGACAGCAATACAATAGTTACTAGAAGAGGTATCTCTGGCCTTTTGGCAAAAGGAGAAAATTTGTAGACTTCCTCTGAGAGAGAGAGGGAGAGAGTTCATTCATGTTCTTTTTAGTTTATGTTTGCAAAGTGCTTTCATATCCATTGTATGTTAATTATCACAAGATAACCCTGTGAGTTGTATAGTGGGCAACACATAGATGAGGAAACGGGGGCTTACTTTCACTCTCATTTTATCATCAAAATAATCTTGTGCAGAAAAGCTAATCTCCTTGTCTAAACCCTTATAGCTAGTTAGTACAGTAGTCTCCCCTTATCTACGGGGGATGTTTCAAGACACCCAGTGAATGCCTGAAACTGCAGTAGTACCAAACCCTGTATATACTATATTTATTCTCTGTACATATATACTTACTCATATGAGTTTAATTTCTATATTAGGCACAGTAAGATTAACAACAATAACTAATAATAAAATAGAACAATTAGAACAATATACTGTTATAAAAGTTATGTGAATGTGATCTCCAAATATTTTATTATACTATACTCACCTTTTCACCTGAAGTACTTTATGGCTTCTCTTTGGCACACCTGAATTGCCAGCATCACTACTCTTATGCTTTGGGGCAATTATTAAGTAAAATAGGGGTTACTTGAACACAAGCACTGCAATACCTTGACAGTCGATCTAGTAACAGCCAGCTACTAAGTGACTAATGCGTGGGAGCATGTACAGTGTGGGTACATACACTGCATAAAGGGATGATTCACGTCCCAGTGGGACGCAGCAGGACAGTGGGAGATTTCATCAGGCTCCTAAGAACGACATCCAATTTGAAACTTATGCATTGTTTATTTCTGGAATTTTCTGTTTAATATTTTCGGGCCATAGTTAACTGAAACCATGATGAGCAAAACCATGGATAAGAGGGTGCTACTGTAGTATAATTGGTCATCTTTTTCAATGGCAGTGTTGAACTTTGTGTTGCAACTCAGCAATATAGAAAGTTGTTTTTCTTTCGGGAAAACACAATCTCTAAACAGAAAAACGTAGGCTAGCTACACTTATCTTTGTAGTGAGGGGTAGCCTTCTTGAATCTCAGACCTATCTTTCTGGATAATTTTCTTCCTGAAGTGTATCTTTAAAAATTCCTTGGGGTGCAAGTGTATAGGTGATAAACTCTCAGCTTTGGTTGTCTAAAATGTCTTTACTTCACTCCCTTTAAGGCATTTTCCTCCCCTAGCTTATTGTCTCAACACTTTGAAGATGTTCCAGTTTTCTAGTTTCCATTGCTGTTGTTGTCAGTTGTTTTTTGTCGATGTTCGGTCTTCTCTGTGCTTTTACCAGGAGCATTTGAAGTAGTGTTGTAAAAATCTGCCTCTGCCTATGGGCTCTCCTAGACTCACTGGAGAGGTTAAAGTGTTGCCAGAAGACTAGGTGCTGGAGAGATCTTACCAGCAGGGTTAAGTACCATATTTTGCTGTGTGTAATGTGCCCTTTTTTGCCCAAGCTTGTGAGGGAAAAATAAGGATGCACATTATATATGGGTAGTACTAATTCCATATCTATATACATATTTTTAATTCTTTTATTTATGCTTATGAGTTAAAAGTGTAACTCTAGAAATCAATAACCATATCTGTACACAAAATAATACTCCGGAATACGATAAATCAGTTTTGTTGAACTTACAACAAACTTGCAATGACGAAGAGCTCTTGGCCTTCTATGATGTGCAACTATCATAAATTTTTTACCAGTACATAAAATTTCTTTTTTTTTTCTTAAGATTTTATTGGGGAATTGGGGGAGGGGAACAGCGTTGGGGAATCGGGGAAGGGGAACAGACAAGTTGCTGTTCTTTTGTTCTTCAGTCTAGTTGTGGAGGACGTCGCTTCACTGGCCCATGTTGGTGTTATCATTGTGCTCTTCCCAGGTGAGGCAGTCGCTCACTGGCCATTGGACAGCAACTCAAGGCAGCCCACGACAGGAACGCCAGCTGCAGCCAGCCCCACTGCAGCCTATGCTGTCACTGGCGACTCACAGCAGCCCAGCTCCAGTTTGAGCTGTTGTTCACCATCTTAGCTATAGAGGGCGTAGCATCACTGGCCCTCATGTGGATCCTAACCGGGGCCCTGCTGCTTAGAGGTGGCATCTCAAGCCAACTCTTAACCAACTTGGCCACTCTCCCGGCCCATACCAGTACATAAAATTTCTTGTACCTTGTATCTGTTCTTGTGTTTTGTAATTATTTGTTACATAAAATTTCTTGTACCATAATATGTTAGAAGATATGCTAAAATTCCTTTATAATACAAAAAACAAGTACCTAAATATAAACCAATAAAAATTTGAATTGGGCCGGCCGCGTGGCGCGATGGTTAAGAACTGGCTTGGGACGCCAGAGGGCCCCGGTTCGGATCCCACATATGAGGGCCAGTGACACTGCCCTCCACAGCTAAGATGCTGAACAACAGCTCAACCTGGAGCTGGGCTGCCGTGAGTCGCCTGCGACAGCGTGGGCTGCAGCCCCTGCTGCAGTGGGCTGCCATGGACTACCATGGGCTACCGTGTGTAGCCAGCAGCTGCAGTGAGCAGCCAGCAGCTGCAGTGAGCGGCCATCCAGAAGCTGGCAACTGATCTGCCTCGCCCGGGAAGAGTGCAATGATGGTGCCAACTTGGACCAGTGAAGCAACGTCCTCCACAACTAGTCTGAAGAACAAAAACGACAGCAACTTATCTGTTCCCCTTCCCCCAATTCCCCAGCACTGTTCCCATCCCCCCAATTCCCCAATAAAAATCTTTTAAAAAAATTTTTTTAATTTTTGAATTAAAAATTAAAAATGAAAGATTTTTTTCCCTGAAAGTTTGGGCCAAAGTTTGGGTGTGCATTATACACAGAGTGCATGATACACAGCAAAATACAGTAGTTGATCAGTTTCCTCATTTACTTTTCTCAGCGTCACTCAGAACTATTGGCAGCTAGATTGGGATGGACTGAGTCCTCTGTAACAACTGCCTTTCTGACCTTTCCTCTGTGCTGAACAAAGCCCAGCCCTGGAACCCAGATGGTGGGAAAGAGTCTCTCTTCTGGGAATGCTAGTGAAGTTCTGGATGCAAGAAGCAGAGCTAAACCTACTGCTGCCTCCAGCTTGGTCACTCCTTCCAAGCTGCTCAGGACCTTACAGCTTTCTTATGTCAAACTGTCCTTACAGGCTAAGGTGAAGAGAGAGAGGCTGAGTCACTGTCATTCCTTAGTAATATATAGGAGAGAGGAGTAACTATTGTCTAAATATTTGTGTTTTCTTTGCAGAATGCATCCTGTCTTGTTCTTGCTGCCCGGCATGCCAGTGCTTCCTCCACGGTAAGGTTTGGAAAAGAGGATGGAGAATCATTGAGGCAGCCTGACTGAGGATGGTGCTGGGGGGTGGTTTGGCTGTCACCCAGGCTATTCATTATCCTGTCTCCTGAAGGTGTCCATTATTATTGATATTGTTGTTACTACTCTTTTTTTTTTTTTAAGATTTTTATTGGGGAATTGGGGGGATGGGAACAGTGCTGGGGAATTGGGGGAAGGGGAACAGACAAGTTGCTGTCCTTTTGTTCTTCAGTCTAGTTGTGGAGGACGTTGCTTCACTGGCCCAAGTTGGCACCATCATTGTGCTCTTCTTTGGCAAGGCAGATCAGTCGCCGGCTTCTGGACGGCCGCTCACTGTGGCTGCTGGCCGCTCATGCTGGCTGCTGGCTACATATGGTAGCCCATGGCAACCCACTGCAGCAGGGGCTGCAGCCTACGCCGTCGTTGGCAACTCACGGCAGCCCAGCTCCAGGTTGAGCTGTTGTTCAGCATCTTAGCTGTGGAGGGCAGTGTCACTGGCCCTCATATGTGGGATCCGAACCGGGGCCCTCTGGTGTCTCAAGCCAGTTCTTAACCATCGTGCCACTCGGCCGGCCCAAGTTGTTACTACTCTTTAAGAAATAATTTACTCAGTAGTGTAGTGAGATGGGAATATCAAATATTTTTGCCTAATCTTTTAATTGTGGTAAAATATACATCACATAAAATTTACCATTTTAGTCATATTAGTTCAGTGGCATTAAGAACATTCACATTGTTGTACAACCATCCCCACTATCTCTAGAACATTTTCATCTTCCCAAATTGAAACTCTGTACCTGTTAAAACAACTCCCTATTTCCCTCTCCTTCTGCCTAATTCTTTTAACCTTATCTGCACAGAGTAATTGACCAGTCTTCCCTGGCAGATAGAGAAAGCCAAATTCTAAAAAATAGTCTTAATGTACATACTTTGCAGGAAATCTAATCAACATTTTGGCCATCACTTAGCCTCTGTAATTCTCTTTTTAGAATTTGAAAGATGTATTGGCTAACCTGATACCTAAAGAGCAGGCCAGAATTAAGACCTTCAAGCAGCAACATGGCAAGACGGTGGTGGGCCAGATCACTGTGGACATGGTAAGGTGGTAAGGGCTGTGGGGTTTGGGCTGGAAAAAGCAGCCCTGTAATGTGCTTTAACAATAGACCTGTTCTTTTCACTGATTATTCAAAAGCATTTTGTGCCATACAAGGAAATGTTGATGCTTAAGGATGTTCATTCGAAATTAGACCATTCTTCTCTATAAATTTAATAGTTGAACCTAACTTAATTCACCTATGGGAGGGATGAATGAAATTTTTATTCCTCTTCCCAAACCCTCAGCTTTTGGGCCAGGGCTGTCTGTCTTTGATTTGATGCCTTCCTGACTGACTGTCCAGTTAAACTACAGCTCTAGCAGGCCCTCTAGAACAGCTTTAGGATGGCTTCTTCTCCAGCTCTGAGAGTCTGAGCAGCTCAGATGATAATTCCGCAGCAGTGTTTAGCCAATGGTCTCTATCTCCTTCCCCTGTAATAGATCCCATTCTGTTTCCTTTGGTTGTGGGAATGGGCAGGAGAAAAAATTCAGTAAGAAAAGGAAGCAGACAGAGGCAGAAGCATCAAATAAAGATAGTGATTTCTCAACTTAAAAACTTAATTTCCAGCATTAGCAATCTTCTTGCAAAGTTCCATACTATAGTAAGTTAACTACTCAGAAATCTTCCCCAAATGAAGTCTTGCAAATCAGAGATAATTATCACTCCCAGATTCCGTGAAGCACAAACAGGCTGTAGCCTGAATTATTCTATTAGTTACATCCTATTCTTTTCTTCAGATGTATGGTGGCATGAGGGGCATGAAGGGATTGGTATATGAAACATCAGTTCTTGATCCTGAGGAGGTAAGATCATGTCAATCACTAATAATTGTTGCATTTACTGACTATTGTGAACACCGTGGTTTAGACCAGTGAGAATAAAGAGAACAAAATAAAGCACCTAGCGTTATATTTTGGAAGGTAGAAAATAGGTACGTATGGAATAACTGGAAAATACATTTACGTTTTTAACACATCAACTACTAAAACCAAAAGTACAAAGCGCAGATGTAAGTTATGTGAAGATTTAACCTTTTTTTTTTAGGATTTTATTGGGGAGTTGGGGGAGGGGAACAGCGCTGGGGAATCCGGGGAAGGGGAACAGACAAGTTGCTGTTGTTTTGTTCTTTAGTCTAGTTGTAGAGGATGTTGCTTCAGTGGCCCAAGCTGGCACTATCATTGTGCTCTTCCCGGGCAAGGCAGATCAGTCGCTGGCCTCTGGACGGCAGCTCACGGCGGCTGCTGGCCGCTCACTGTAGCTTATGGCAGCCTACGTCGCCAGCAACCCACAGCAGCCGACAGCAGCCCAGCCCCAGGTTGAGCTGCCATTCACCATCTTAGCTGCAGAGGGCAGTGTCACTGGCCCTCATATGTGGGATCCGAACCGGGGCCCTCTGGCGTCCCAAGCCAGTTCTTAACCATCACGCCAAGGCCGGCCCTGAAGATTTAAGCTTTAAAAGTTCTATTTTAACTTGTTGAAATGTCTGATAAGAGTCTGACCAGGTCAATTATGGGATTTCCAGACTAATACATTTAAGAGTTGTAATTCTTACTCTTCTCCTTCAAGGGCATTCGCTTTCGAGGCTATAGTATACCCGAATGCCAGAAACTGCTGCCCAAGGCTAAGGGTGGGGAAGAACCCCTGCCAGAGGGTTTATTTTGGCTGCTGGTAACTGGACAAGTCCCAACAGAAGAACAGGTAAAGCCTAAGGACATTAGCCTTTCTCATTCCCCTCCTTCTTGACCTTTCTCTAATCTCAGATACTTAATCCTGATCTGGCTGTGGGTGGTAGTTTATAGAGCTGTGCAGTGAGGGGAAGGAGTCAGAGCAAAGTTCTGTATAAGTGGATTGGGTTGAATTCTTTTGGATTTTCTCTACTCAGATGTCACTGTCTTTTAAGTTTTTTTTTTTTTCCCGTTTCCTAGTTTGAGCAGTGTCTCCTTTTCCACAGGTATCTTGGCTCTCAAAAGAGTGGGCAAAGAGGGCAGCTCTGCCTTCCCATGTGGTCACCATGCTGGACAACTTTCCCACCAATCTACACCCCATGTCTCAGCTCAGTGCAGCCATTACAGCCCTCAACAGTGAAAGTAACTTTGCCCGAGCATATGCAGAGGGTGTCAACCGAACCAAGTACTGGGAGGTAGGAAATTTTGGTGTGATCGACGTGCAATAGGGATTCAAAGGACTTGAGTGTGAAGGAAGAAAGAATGTAGAATCTTTAGGAAATTTACTTCTCTGAGTTATGTATACCAGAAACTCATTTAACAAATTTTTATTGTAGACTTGCTTTTTGTCAGTCTTGGGGATTACAAAGATAAATGGAGCATGCTTTCTGTCACCAAGGTTATTGGTTTGGTTAGGATGATGTACATGTAAAAAAGAAATTATAATTCAGTAACCCTGCTGTAATGGATGTACACAGGGCTATTGGAACATTGAAAAGGATGTTACTTAACTGCAGGGTTCCTGAGGCAGATTTCACTAAATAGTCTCACCACTAGCCCCAAAGGGTCCCATCTCCTACTTGTCTTCTTCAAATAAGGAGGACCTTGAGAAATCTTACAGGTTGGGTGTGAATGGCAGCTAAGGCAACTCTGGAGTCTAGGAGGCCTAGTCTAATCAGCCACAGTTCTGGACTAGCCCACTCAAGATACCTGTCAGGAACAGAAGGGTGGTTAGTATCCTGAAAGTAGGATCCAGAATACTGAGCTTTATTTTCTGAAAATGAAATGCGACTGTAATAGTTTGTACTCTGTAGTTGTAGTAGGAAAAGACTGTTGTGCCTTGTCCCAATGCATACTATATAATTTCCTTCCATCCTCTTTCCAATACACGACATACAAACACTGGATAAAATACAGATTTTCAGGCTAGGTTTACAGGACATCTTATTTTCTTTTATTTCTTATTCAGAGACAGGTAGTATAGGAACAGAAGAGTTTCTTTTTTGCAAAGCAGGTAGACTAAATGATTTTTGACCAGAAGATGCCAACCGCCAAGAAGGCCCCAAAGAGTTCATTATGATGCAAGGCACAGGATGGTCTGTGGGCCATAGCATGGCCCACTGGTCTGATGAAATCCTGTTGGGATTTTGGCAAATCCTGCTTCTTTTGGCTGGTCAGTATTCATTTGATGCCAACTGTGTACAGAGAACTATGTTTGCTGTTGGGGGAAGGGGTTGGGAGTTTGGAATTGATATCAGTCTGGTTGGCATTGAGGAGGAAGGTATTGGAATGTGCAGAATATATTATACATTCTAGAGCTGTACACCAGCAGATTCAAAATATCGTATGACCTGAATATATTCCTTTTCATTTTCTTCTTTAAATGCTGTTCAAGTAATTGTTATCTGTGTGGGTCACCACAACACAAAAGGTTAAATCAAGACCTACAGTTCTTCTGTTTTAAAACTCATTATTTAGAAATTGACCCCCTAAAAGGCTGTAGTTAAAAGTGCCTGTTAACTACTTTGAATGCTGTTGTCTTGACTGTCATGAGAAGGGGAGAAAACAGCTTCTTCTTACTTTATAATAGATGCCTATATTTCCCAAACATCTAAACATGCTGCATTGCTTCACACTGTCCTTTATTGAATCACTGAAATATGTGATTCGTCTTTCTGTTGAAAGCATCTGCTTTCTGTTGCCTCCATTTCAATGTACAGCCATTGATTGATTGTTCTGCCATCATCTGTTTGCGAGATGTCACCTGAGGGTGGCTGTCTTGAAGTAAACATGTTATATTTCAGGACTTTGCCAATCTTTTGGAGAGTATAAGCAGTACTGATACATTTGCCAGCCTTAGGATATATGTCTAATAAATTCACACTACACAAAAATGAACACCAGTAAGTTCAGTGCTTTAGTAGAGGTTGGTGCTCTTTTGCTGCTACATTTTGTAACTCTCTTAAAGGTCAGACATGCTCTTTCAGTTCAGTTTTCTGTCTTGGTTAATTTAACCATGGGCTATTTAAGAATTACATGACAGCATCCAGCTGGTTATTTCTGTTTAAAATGTTTATGTTTAGTTTATATGTGATCTGAGTCTTTACTGGAATCTTCAGTTCACCTTTCCTTGTTTACATATACGTCAAGAGGATGATCTTCTGCCTACAACATTTCTTCCATAACAGTTAACATGACTTTAAATAGTGTAATCTCTTGAGTTGAAAGAGTTAGATCTCTATGTATTTGGCTTAACTTCACTCATGATCAGGTTACTATGATGTAACCGGCTGTTTGTGAAGTAGCCTTTGCTGAGCTGAGTAAAATTTACAAAATAGCTGATAATTTTGCTAATAATGTCACCTTTTGTAACGCCTGTAAATGTTATATGTAGGTTTTAAAGCTGTTTATAATAAGATCATTTTATCCTAACACCTAACAACTCTTGAAAACATGCCAAATATTATGCTTAAGTGTTCATTTTCTGATTTAATCCTCAGGAAAACCCTGTGAGGTAGATGTTATTTGTTATTCCCATTGTTACTGAATGGGAAAACTGAGGGTTAGAGAGAAATTGAGAAGCTTACCTAAGGTCCTACAGCTAGTAAGCGGTAGAGACAAGATTCACATTTGAGTTTGCTTCACTCTAAGGTCTCTTCACCATTAATACTGGCTCTCTTTTTTTCCTATGTCGTCTTAGTATTATTGATAGCTATCTACTTGGTCAGAATTTTCTTAGCAATAGAAATGGTGGCTCACAATGATGATGATGGTCAGTTTTGTTACCTTTATTCCAGACTGTTGTGATGGTGACATATTTTAACACCTTTTTTCCAAGGCTTTATAGATGAAGAATGAGTTGGTATAAGTAACTAAACAGCACTTCAGCCTTAGCTTATTAAAGAAAGAATAAGCAGGAGTTTTCTGCCACAGTTTTGTTGCTGTTTTGTTTTGTTTTTGACTGTAAAGCATTGACCACTACAAAAAGCAGGCTAAGAATCCCACACTGTGTCATACCTAGTTTGACACTTGTTGCTTTATAAACTTCATTCTCACTGGTAGAAGTTGAAACAATCTCCTTTTTGTAGTTCTGCAAGTGATTTTGAAAGTTAGTATATACTCCACAGATACCAGTTTGCCTAGCCCAGGATCCTGTTCTTGGCATTCTGCTAATGAATCCAGGTCCCTTAGAACTGCGTTTCCTTGATGCAGGCCTCTGGAAGTAACCTACTTCCTTGGGGTATGTAAATCTGTAAGGAGGTATAGTTAATAATGTGATCGTCATTTAAATAATTTGATAACTTGCAAGTATTAGCTAAGTAGTTCTTGCTTTGGGTAGCTTTTTAATTTTAATTTTAATTCTCACTGAATCCTGGTGGCTTTGATAAAATTCCCTGTGCAATTGAGTATTCCTGACTTCATAGGGATTAATTTAGGCTAGTTAGTATAAATGTTGCTGTTTGTTCCCACAGAACTACTGAGATCTCAGGACTTAAAGGAGCATTTAGCCAATTAGCTAGCTAGGATAGCACTATGTAATATCAGTCAGCAAGTATTTGTTCCCTGCCTTCTATGTACATGGAACTGTGGATAAAAGCAGATTTTTGTGAAGTTACTTTAAAAATATATATGTACTAAAACCCTGTCCCTTTTTTGAAGGGACTTAAAACCCCCTTGGGAAGATAAAACTGAGACATAAAAGTTGAGCAGGCTATTATTAACATCACAAAAAGAGATAACATAGATATTATATGCTTCTCTTAATAAATGAACATAACACTATTTATCAAATAGTCTTGCTAAAAAAAAAAAAGAACCTGAATTGGTCAAGCCTCTGTATCTAACTTTTATTTTATAGGAAATTAGTGGACAGAGGAACATGTTAAATGACATCACAAGTATATACCCAGCAAAATGTATGGGAAGTTCTACAGAATAAGTGATCCAATTTTCCACAAATAGCAGATTTTTAAAAAGGAGAGCATAAGAGGGAATTTAAATTGAGACTTCAAAGACATATCAGACAATTGTACTGTGGGCTATTTTCAGTCCTGAATCAAATGAATGGGGCGCAGGGGGGTATAATCATGGAAATTTGAGCATATATTTAGTGATACTGAGGATTTGTTAAATTTTTTTTTAATGGGCTAATGGTTTTGTGATTTTGTTTATGAAGGGCCTTTATCTTTTAGAGATACATTATAAATATTTAAATAATATTTACATGTTGAAATATATGATGTCTGGCATTATCTCCAAATAATTTGGGAAAGTAAGAATATAGGTGAAACCAGTGTGGCCATGAGTTAATTGTTTAAGCTAGATGATTGATGCTTATTAGCTGAGTGGGGTAACCTTGTGTAAGTTACTTAACCTGGCCAAGCCCTAATGTCCACATTTGTAAAATGATGGATATATTACCTTACAGGATTACTGTAAAAAAAGAAATATATAAGTCTAGCACAGTACCTGTTATAGTAAGTGCTTAAAAAATGGAAGCCATTGCTGTTAACTAACAGTTGAATGCTGCTGTTTGACCCTTGGCATATATGGTGAATTTTCTTTGAAAGATGAACATAGAATTGTTAAAACCTAATAGCATACTTATTGAATACAAAGTTATGTAGCAGGAAAGATCATGATTAAGTATATAAGGGTTCAAATTTTGACTTAGGCTTTTGTTTTGGTTTTGGTTTTTTTTTTTAGCTGAGCCATCCTGCCACCTGTTGGCAGCTCAGCTTGGGCCAGGAATCAAACCGGTGGCCCTATTGTTCAGAGCTCGCGCTCTTGAGCAGCTCTTAACCAACTGAGCCACTTGGCCACGGCTTTTAACTGAATGCTCTGAGCTTCAGTTCCTTCATCTGTAAAATGGAGGTCATTATATATTTTGTAAAATTGTAAAAAAATTGGGAATAACGTCTTATGTACATGAGATAGTATACGTAAATCATTTAGTGCAGTGCCTGGGTCATAATAGTTATTAAGTTAAATGGTTATTGTTGTTATGTTCATATAGAACCACCCAGTATATAACCATCAATCCAAATAGCCCAATCCATGGAGAACAAATTGTATCCCTGCCTAATTCTTTGCTGATAAATCTTTTTCTGTTTCTTCATTTTTCTCAGTTGATTTATGAAGACTGTATGGATCTGATCGCAAAGCTACCCTGTGTTGCGGCAAAGATCTACCGGAATCTCTACCGTGAGGGCAGCAGTATTGGAGCCATTGACTCTAAGCTGGACTGGTCCCACAATTTCACCAACATGTTAGGCTATACTGATCCTCAGTTTACTGAGCTAATGCGCTTGTACCTCACCATCCATAGGTGAGCTAGACCCAGCAACCATAGCCTGGATTGACAGGAAATTTTTTTTTTTTTTAAGATTTTATTGGGGGAGGGGGAACAGTGTTGGGGAATCAGGGAAGGGGAACAGACAAGTTGCTGTCCTTTTGTTCTTCAGTCTAGTTGTGGAGGACGTCGCTTCACTGGCCCATGTTGGTATCATCATTGCGCTCTTCCTGGGTCAGGCAGTCACTCGCCGGCCATTAGAAGTTCGCTCTCAGCAGTTCAGGAAAGCTCACTCCAGCTGCCAGCCAGCCCCATTGCAGCCTATGCTGTTGTTGGCGACTCAACGGCAGCCCAGCTCCAGGTTGAGCTGTTGTTCACCATCTTAGCTGTAGAAGGCGCAGCATCACTGGCACCCATGTGGGATCTGAATGGGGCCCTGCTGCTCAGAGCTGGCGTTCCAAGCCAACTCTTAACCAAAGCGCCACTTGGCTGGCCCCTGACGGGAAATTTTAAGAAAAGCTCCTTAACAGCCTCATTTTCTGGGAATAGGTGGTAGGCAGCAAGGTGATGGAAACACAGCACAAGAGATGATACAGGGCAAGAAAGGGGTCTTGTAAAGAAGGTCAAGAGTTTTGGGAAATGACCATAACCACACCGAGAACAAGATAGTGCTTCTAGTTGGGAAAAGGTACTGAGCTGCTCACATTAAGTTGTCCTTTAGCTTTCCAAGAGCTCCCTCTTCTGGCCATTGCTTATTAAATTGGGAGTGAGAGTCAGGGAGCTTGGCGCACAGGCATCATCAGCCAGTAACCTCTCCAACTCTGTGGATCAGTGAACAAAGACCAGTAGTGAGATTGGGACATCTCTTACAAGAGCTTATGTATAACTGACTGGCTATAGGCTGGTGTGAGCCCATAATGAGGTTAGTGTGACAAATACGAGAACAACAAGAGACGTGTTTCCATAATCTGCCCTTTTTTTCTCCTTTTTCTTAGCCTTGATTCTCCTTTCTTATTTCCCCACAGTGACCATGAAGGTGGCAATGTAAGTGCCCATACCAGCCACTTGGTGGGCAGTGCCCTTTCAGACCCCTACCTGTCTTTTGCAGCAGCCATGAATGGGCTGGCAGGGCCCCTACATGGACTGGCAAATCAGGTAAGACTATTTTTCTTTTCCTGCTCCATGTTTTTCTTAGTCCCATGCTTTTGTTTCTGACCTTGGTGTTCTCTCCTAGCATATGTATTGACACTTTTATTTCTCAAACCTTACCCGTAGGAAGTGCTTGTTTGGCTGACACATCTACAGAAGGAAGTTGGCAAAGATGTGTCAGATGAGAAGTTACGAGACTACATCTGGAACACACTCAACTCAGGACGGGTAAGCAGAGTTGCTTAGTAGCTAGGAAAGAAGCCAAGACTCAAGTTGCAATTTGGAAGAATTAAGGAGAAAAGAATGAGAAGAGGTCCCTAAATTAGAGGAGTTTTAGTTTTGTTTTTTCCTTTTGTCTACCCTGAAGAATTTAGAAAAGACAAGAATTTCTACCTGAAAATACAAATGCCTTTTTTACCCTCACTCTTTCCAGGTTGTCCCAGGCTATGGCCATGCAGTACTAAGGAAGACTGATCCACGATATACCTGTCAGCGAGAATTTGCTCTGAAACATCTGCCTCAAGACCCCATGTTTAAGCTGGTTGCTCAGCTGTACAAGATTGTGCCCAATGTCCTCTTAGAGCAGGGCAAGGCCAAGAATCCTTGGCCCAATGTAGATGCGCATAGTGGCGTGCTGCTCCAGGTGAGTCCTGCTTTCCCTCTAGTTTGAACCAAACCTTGCTACTCTCTGCCATGCACAGAATCAATTCCCAAGTGAGAGCAGGGACTCTTCTACCTCTTTCCTTACCCTTTTGATAAAGTTGCATATGGTGGGGCAGGTATGTACAGGAGGAAAAGGGTAGTACTCTTTTCAGAATCCCAATCACTATACTTTTCCCAGTGTCATTTCTGTTTAAGGTTGACTGGGTTAAGGTTTCTGTCATCCTGGATTTGTGTATGCCTCGACCTCTGGGCCTTTAACAGAATGTTTTTTTTCTTTTATCTTACAGTACTATGGCATGACGGAGATGAATTACTACACAGTCCTGTTCGGGGTGTCACGAGCATTGGGTGTACTGGCACAGCTCATCTGGAGCCGAGCCCTAGGCTTCCCTCTAGAGAGGCCCAAGTCCATGAGCACAGATGGTCTGATGAAGTTTGTGGACTCTAAGTCAGGGTAAAACTGGAGACTGGGGGAAACTACCAGAAAGTGAGGGAGCTTTAAAAAAAAAAAAAAGTATACTTTTGTTTTGTTCAGGGGACTTTTAAAGACTTAAAATTAAATTGTATCTGAGGCACTGATAATAAGTTTGAGGTTAAAATACAAATTAAGATTTTGAAAGATAAAAAGTGACCCCTTCTTCCCTAACCAGCTCCTTTCCCCTGCCTGGTAAGAGTTGCCCATCAACTGCAGGATGACCAGGACTAATGCATGTGGTGTGTGTTAGGTCTGGTCGTCGGCCCCCCCCCCCCCCCCCCCCCCCATCTCTAGAGGGAGAATCTGGCTCCTCTTTCCCTGGGTCAAAGCTGATTGCAGAAAATCTTCAGTCACTTTGGAGCTTTTGGTTCCACTCTGCCCAGCCCTCAAATAGGTCAGCAAACCAGGACTCTGCCCCTTCTGTTTCCATAGGAATCATGTTGGATTGCCAGCTGTACCGAGCCCCATTGCCCTCTCCAATGTGCACAGACACTTCTAGCAAGATCTATTGGTTAGCTGGACATGCTTTGGCATTTTTTTATGCTACCAGGTGACCATAAAGGCCATGGCATTTGTTGTTACTGGCACCAGTGTTTTATTTATTTTTTAAAAATTATCCCATGAAAATTAAGATCTGGGAGTATTCTATTCCCCACTACTTCAATACCTCCTTTGAGATTTTCTATACCTGCTGCTCCTCAAGCTGAGGATGCTCTGGACCTTTCCCTCTTCGTCCCTACTAGAGAACTCCTTCAGCAGGTTGTATGTACCACTTTCCCAGTCATTTGGCTTTATCAGTGCTTAATGTGAACTAAACTTTTTACTTCCACAGAACACAAGCCACTACCCTCTGACCTTTTTCCTCCCCTTTATTTTAGTATGCTGTGGGCCATAGAATAGGTACTTGGGAAAGATCAGCATAGCTTCATGGTCTGGTCCCAGGGGTACTAGCACCTCTTTTTGAGCAGGGAAATGATTTAGATTAGACCTGGTTTCCTTTGAATAACAGGTCCTGGGGCTAGGGGCATTAAAAATAGTAACCCTCCCTCCTCAATCCCCTGCCACAAGAAAATATCCCTTTATTTATCAAGGTTCTTATGCTGCCCTTCCCTAAGAGCTCACAGTACAGTGTTTGTTTTAGAAGCCTCATCTGCACAGGTTTCCAGTGACTCAGAATGCTCTACTGTCTTTTCTTTAAGAAAGGATTGAAATACACTCCTGCTGTGCCCCTTCCTCCCTCACAACTCCTGCCTGTGTTTGTGTGGAACCCAATCCCCAGAACCACGCTGTTGAGATGGACACACTGTCTGTAAACCCCTGCGTAACTTGTCATGATGCAGACTTCAGGTTGTTCTGTATAAAATGCAAAATAAATGTTTTTATTAACAATGCTTGAGCCTGCTATTAAATAAGGCCTGGAAGAATCTGTTACAAGGTAAAGAATCTGGCTGGCAAGATCCTGGACTTAAGTGGGTTATAAGTTGTCATGTGCATCCCTTTATCTTTAGGCAGGTTTGGCATTCCTTTACCCTAAAGTGAAGACAGGATTTCTGTCTTTCCTCAAGGTTAGAAGCCCTTGACCCTTAGTCCCCATCCTTCCTAATTTTGTTGGATAGAACACTCAAGGATTATAGCTGAGACCTCACAACTGTTTATGTGACTAATCCAAGGAAATTGGTCCAGCCCCCTGGGTAAAAGGAACAAACTATACCAAGGACAAACTGGTAGGACTACTACTAGCTCAATACGTGAACCACTAGAGGGCTCTAGTACTTCATGGAATGCCCATTATTCCTCCTTTAAGGAGGCCCCTAAAATAAGAGGGCCTGAGGGCATCAGTTATATGGGAGGTCTGAGACCAGTAATTCCGTCCTGAGACTCCTGCTGCAACTGACCTTCTGAAAAAGTCTATTAATAGGCAAGGGAGTGGGTACTAGGTCCTGGCTTGTAGAATGTACTACTATAGTTAGCAGGGACACTATGTCCAAGAGTCCTTGTACCTTCACTCCCTTAGGAAGGAAGCCATGACTTTCTTCTACTCTGTGGTATCTATATTATATATATTCCCCCAAGAAATAATATAAAAAAGCCAAATTCACACTGTCAAAATTAATTTATTGAAATTTTATAAAAAGCCAAGTGGAAGAATAAGGTACAACCCAAGAGTACAACTCCGTTCAGTGCTTTTTTTCGCCTCGCCCCAGGCTCTTCACTAGCATGGAAAAGTGAATTCTTTAAGTGAGACCATAGTTTCAAGCTATGGCCAGATCTCTGACATCTGAGACATTTCAGTCAAGCAAAAGTTATTGACCATCAATACCTCTGTCAGAGGAAAAAGCTCAATTTTTTTTTAATTTACTGGACATTTACTTTTAATTATTTTTGAAAAAGCTCAATTTATTCAGTCCTTGAGAAAAGTTGCCATCTTCCCCTGGTCAGATACTAAGGCACCTTGACAGGGCTCGGGTAACCACACAGTCTTAATTATAATTCAGTGTGAGAAGGCTGTAGGCATCAGGCATATAGGGCTCTCAAGCTGAGGCTAACTGTTTCCTAAGCATGTTTCTTTTCCATAACCCCCTGTCTTTTCTTTTCCCCCAGCATTTCCAGCCAGCTTAGAGCGCAATTTCTGGAGAATTGAGAGGGGGAAAGTATTATGAACACAGACTCTTCTCTCAGATTGGAGCAGGAGCCAAATAAATAAGAGAATTGGGTGGGGAGGGAGAGTAGAGGAGAAGCTAAGGCACAATCCTTTGCCTCAAGTCTGGTGCACCTCATGGAACATCAGTTCACGGGGGATGACTGTTTCTGGACCAAACTTGGTAGCTGCCCGACGCTCGAAGGCAGCAACATTCTGTTTGACAACCTCATCGAAAAACATGGTGGCCAGCTGGGAGTGCAGCAGAGAACGAAATTCAAAGGAAATCTGGGAATGGGTAAGAGACAGAAACTCTTCAAGACCATGTTGGATAGTCACTGGCCAAATGCAGGGATACTACTCAATGACTTTCCTTCCCCTCCCCCTCCAGTTCCTTAGATCCCCTCAAAAGCCCAGTACCAAGTTGGAGAAAAAGTCAAACCTGGGATTGTCGCTGACTTGGGAAATGCTAAGTGCTAGCTATACATAAAGAATAACTCGGTCACAGCATTTCAGCTCTGCCCTCACACCCAGTTGAAGCCCTGTGCCACACAGCCTCCTGACTCACCGAAAAGTCCACCGTGCAAGTTCGGGGGTAGGCAGGAATACCAGGGCTGAATCGCCAAATGGTCTCTAAGTGATTGAAGAGCTTGCCATCAGTGCAAACAGCCTAGAATTAGGACAGTCAGGTATTTAAACATCACACAATGGAATAAAACATATATGATACAGGAGGCTACAGAAAGGAATTCAAAGCCATTTTCCTTCTAATATTTTATTAGGGAATTACTTGACACATGGAGATAAAATCCTTATGAGGAAGGCCAAATAGCCCTTTAATGTAAAAATGCTAGGGAACACAAAACTTCCTGATCAATCCCTTCCAGACAGGCCTCACCTTGACCATGTGAGGTTTGACCATGGAAACAGCAGAGGTATAGCGTTCCATGACAGGTGGAAAGCCAACCTCCAACTGGGCCTTCAGGTGACCTTTGCGGCTGGATACCACCAAAGACTTCTTACACCAGGGCACAAACTCGCGGTACTCCTGGACATTGGACACCACCTCAAACATCTCCTGCATTGAGTACCTGGGGGAAGAATCAGAGAGGCCAAGGAACTGCCCCATAGTTCAGGCTCCTTGCCCTGGGTGCCTCTAGTAACTAGAGGGAGGGCACCCAGGGCAAGGAGCCTGAACTATGGTACTAGAGCCTAGTACCTTTGCCCACTAACCATGCACCTTCAGATACTAGAGATCACAAGCCTGAATGAATGACTTCCCAAAAACAAGTGTGCAAAATTTTCATGATGTTAATGTTACCTTATGTTTTGCAGTTTACAGAACACTTTTGCATTTACTATCTATTTTGATCTTAAGAGGGCTCATCTAGGAAGAACAGAGCTTGTCAATCATACAAGGACTCATACAAGGACTCACTCAAGGACTCATATCTACAACTTTGTAACAGTGTAGCCCTAGGTACATTACCTGTGCCTCCATTTTCTCACCTTCAAATCAGAGGTAACAATAACACCTGATTCACAGGTTTGTTGAGAGGAGCAAATAAGAAAATCTATGTAAAACACTTAAGCAGCCTAACTGCTAGAAGTAGCAAGAGCTCAATAAGTGTTAGCTATTTTATATTGTACTCAGAATACATAACAAAATCAGGTCAGCAGAGATACATAATAATAACCTTGTTGTCTTACACTATACTGTCCAACTGCAAGTTTCACTTGACACATGCACAGCAACCAAAAAGAGAGAATTTAAGATTGGAAGGCTGGCAGGGGAGTATAAAGGATCAGTAATATAGACAGGAGAGGAATGAATCTTGCCCACTATTGCTACCCCTACATTCAAACCTGCACATGGTTATTTGGAGGGGAAGGGAATGTGGAGGAATGCTGGCCAGGGGAGGATGCTCACCCCATGATCCTACGCTCAGAGTAAGCCTTTCTCTTGTTGGTGAAGGGGGCAGCAAAGCCCATGAAGGAACGGCTAGGAGGTAAGCCAGCCTCAGCTGCCAAGGCTTGGGCAGCCCGGGGCAAGAGGAGGCTGCAGGAAATCAGAAATCTAAGGCCAAAAGGAAAGGAAAGACAACGTCACAATTCTTGGTGTTCAACCATTCCCAGGTGAAGGGGAATAGGGGCGCATCCCGGAGGAAGGTCGTCCAGGCAAGCTTTTCCCCCAGCACCTGCTGCAGCCCGCCAGGCTCCCTGGCCAGGCAGTCACGAGTGCGAAAGGTCGAGGGCAGCCGAGGACAGCGCCGGGGGAGGAAATTGGAAAAAGCGGGGTGCATGCGAACCGCCAGTTGCCTTTGACTGGGGGCTATGCTACTGCTGAAAGCTAGGAAGAATCACAGTCCCCAGGGCCTCGCCAAGCCCGTTGCCGCAAGGGGCAAGAAGTGGTTGGGCACCCACCCCGGGGACTTCCTCTCGCGAATAACTTAAAAAGTGTGTTCCCCAAAGCTCTACAAAAGACCACAGGGTTGCAACCCTCCATCGCAGAATTTCAGGGTCCTGGGCGACCCCCCGTCCTCCCGCTCGGCCGCCCGCGCCTCCCTCTCACCTCATTGGTCGCGGCGGTCGCGGAGGGCCTGGGGGCGGGGCCGAGCGCACGCCCCGGTGGAGCTGGAGGCCGCAGCAACGCTGGGCCGCTGCGCGGGTCCCGGCTGGGAGCCGCCGCGCGCCCGCCGAGGCCATGCGCGTGACCCTCCCTGGCCTTCACGGCTCTGACACCCGCTGCGCCCTCGTCACTCCAGAGGGAGGGTGGCAGGAAGCGGCCGCCAGGCCGGTTCAAAGCCCTGGAGCGCAGGGGTGGCGCGGGGCAACCGCGCCTCTTGCCTGCTCCCGACCGGGCGGCGGGGTGAGCTAGAACTGAAGCTGCGACCGCTGCTCCGGCAGCTCCCAGTATCCTCACGTCACGCCGTTGCCATGGCTCGGGACTGGGAGAGGGAGGAAGCAAGGGGACAACGCGGCCTGTCGGGAGATGTAGTTTCACACCTCTAGGGAGGGAGAAAGGGCACTGGAGTGTGTGTTGAGATGTAGACGTGGCCGGGTGACGTGAGGTCATTAGGCAAACTATTTGGCTAGTCTGGTGTCACGGACGGATACATAAACAGAAAGGCGACTTTGTGAGTGTATCAACAGTAGATATCTGTTGATCTTCTGAACTCTCTTAGTGCCTTTATCATATCCTGCCTTGTTTATAGTTTGTTCTATAAGTCTTGTTCATCTTTGTAGACTCCACAGAGCCTAGTGTGTGCTTTATATCTTTGGAACGTTCTGAGCTCTGGGTTAAGACTTTACATAGTTTTCTCCTTTAACATTTATACAAATAAATTGGGGTGAGAAGAACCAGACTTACTTTTACGAGAAACATCTTTGTCTGGAAAAGTGTGCACTTCATGAAGGTTGAGAACCCCATGGCCAGGACCCCAGGCAATGAAATGTCACTATATTGCTTTCCATCATGATACAAGGGGGGGAGGGGTAAGGGTAGGGGGGGCGCTCTTGATAAAGGTGGAGAGAACGAAAAAAGAAGGAAGCAGGAAGCAGGGAGGAGAAGGAGAGGAAGAGGAAGAAAGAGGAGGAGGAGGAGGAGAAATGGAGAGAGGAGAGAGAAATCAGCAATTAGAGCTGGATCTAGGTGGGTGGGTAGGTACAAGAGCCATTGAAATTCTCCCACGTTGTAGTAGAGGAAGGACATTTTAAGAATGCTGGTGCCTGCTGGTTACATTTAAAGGTATTTATGTTACTACAGTGGAAGCCCCTCCTCTACTTTCTTTCTAAATCTTTAGTCAAGATCTCCACATTCAGGAAGCCTGAGTAGTGTTGGGTGTGGGAGTGGGGGGATGGGGGGGGGTTAAATAAAAGTGTTGCCTTTTGGATCTAATTGGTGTGGAAGAGAGACATCTAGCCCAAAACAGGGGCCTGGAAACAGATATAAATCCTCCATCCCCCTCCCCCCACCTCCCACCCCCACTCCTTGAGATTGGCATTAATTTTGGGCCTTCCACTGGATATAGAGTGATTTAAAGTTTGAGCCCATTTCATCTGAATTTCAAGGAGCAGGAGCCCTCCCTTGAACTCTGGTTTACATTTAACATTTTGTAAGGAAGGTGTTTTAATCCTTATATATACACGAGTATAAAGCCCCAAACTAGCGGAATGATCTAATTTATTTTTCTCTCCTAACATTTCCTCTTTTCCCCTCAGCACCCCCACCCCAACCATCCAAGATACAGTATCTCCTTCCAGTTCAAAGATGATAAAATGGAGCCTCTCTTGGATGGGCATGTGACCTTGAGGAACAGATTTACTCTTCCCAACCCCACTCTCTTGTTTGGCCCCACTCTCTCTGACTAAGGGCTTACACATGTGAGACAGCTGCTTAGACTAAAGAGGAAGGATCTGGCCAGATAAAAGACAGAAATTAACTGGGATACATGACTGAACTGTGACCTCATTAACACTCTGCCTTAACCGAGTTAACTGCTGCAGAATCCCCAAGGTACAATAGGCCTGCCAAGCCAATTTGCTTGTTGTCCCCCCTACTAATTAGATTAACTAATTACTGCAATTTAAATTTTTTCTTGTTAATTCCCCATACTTGAAACAACCAATTGCCTGCCATTTTCCCATCATTGTACGTCGATAATTTCCTTCAAGTACTGACTTAAAATACATCTCCAGGAAGACCCTCTTGACTGAACCCCTTCGTCAATATTAATGTCATGTAAAGAAGCATGTATCCTATATTCTCTAGTTGTTTCATGTGTATGTTCTACTAAGTTATAAGCTCCACAAAAATAGACACCATTACTTCTAAGTTTCTACCTCCGAACCAATTAGTATAAGGCTGTACACATTGGTGAGTTTTCAATCAACATTTGATTAGAAGAATAAAAATTGAGTCTTAAAGACAAGTAGGCATCTGCCTAGATTTATACAAATATGAATTCAGTAGTCGAATCCGGAAGGACTGTCTGCATAAGAGAGCTTTGCCACCACCTCTGGCCTCCTCCGCCTCCACCCTGTGCATCTCCCTGAGCCCTGGAAGTATCTGTGTTACCTACATCATATCCCTTTTTTCCCTACTGGGAAATCCTCTTTCTGTGCTCTGAATAATATTAAAAATAACTCTTCTAGCCCTTCCTCCTCCTTCCAGCTGCCCAAAGAAGCCGGCTGGCAACCTTCCTTGTTCACCTCTACACCCACGCCAGAACCAGGCACGTGACTCCAGCTTAACTCCTGACTCCCAATTCCTCAGGTTACCAAGAGCTATTTCAGGCAATGAAGGCCACATAGTCCCCTCCTCCTCATCCTCGAGGCCATATCCTAGCTTAGCCCTTCCTGGAAGGTCTATCATACCCTTCCTGGAAGGTCTATCATACCCAATAGCCAAGTCAGCATGTCCCAACACCCATATCCATCTGACCCCCAGCTACCTTTGGTTTCTACTACTTCAGCCTCATTTTTTTCTCCTTCTTTTTCTTCTTCTCCTTCTCTTCCTCCTCCTCCTCCTCCTCCTTCTTCTTCTTCCTCTTTCTTCATCTTCATCATCAAATATTAAGTGCCTGTTCCCACGTGGTGCTCTGCTAGAGCTACAAAAATAATTGCATGTATATCCTGGCTTTCAGAGCTCAAAATCCTTTTTTAATAGAAAAACAAACAAACAAAACAATGTACAGTCCTGTGTTGAAAAAAAGACAAGGAATTTAAAATCCATTCTGAACTGTTGGATACTTGTACATATGTCAAAGATATAAGGTGAAATGAACAAAAGGGTGCAATTTAAACGTGATTGTGACAGTGTAAACTAAGTTTATGTAAGTGTTAAGGAGACCTAACAAAAGGGAAAGAACCTGTTAACCAGGGAAGACTCCCTGGAAGAGGTAGGTTTTAAGTAACATTGTAAATTTTATTTTCAATATGGTGAAAAATCAAAACATTATTAAAGTATATAGTGATTGGTAAATTTCCCTCTTGTACCTCATTTTCTGTTCCCCAGTTTCTCTCTCCAGGAAAAAGCCCTGGTACCAGTGTCTTGTGTATTTTTCCAGAGGGAATCAAGATATTGAAAGCAATGAGGAGGCATAGATTGTTGGAGAGCAAGGGAGGGCATTTATATCTATGTCTTGACAGGGGGCCAACGTGCTACATTTCTTCCTAAACCTGTTCCCTTGTTAAAATACACTTATTGAGTTGCTGAGCTCTGAACAGGACTCTGAATGACCTTTGATAAATTGTACCAATTTTTCAATATTCACTTTTCTTCCCTCTTTTTCCCTTTCTGGGCTGGGACGCCCTCCATCCAGATCTTCCCTGATTGGCTGCTCTCAATGGAGGAGGGGGAAGCACCCCCACCCCTTTCTGGGGAGAAACCGTTGAGCCTTTTAAAAGGTAGCAGTCAACCTACCACCCTAACCTGGCAGTAGAGTAATTAGGGAGTGGAAGAGTGCCCCTTCTGTTGGCCTTGGAGGTCTTCAGCTGCCAGCTGTCTCGTCCTCTTTGTAGGGGTTTTTCTGCAGCAGGAAAGTCCTTAGGTTTTTCTCTATGAAGCCTGGGCACTTTTGCTATTTCCTTGCTACCCAACTCATATCACCGCCTGTGGAGATAGGTGCCTTCCCTCCTTCTGAGGCTACTGACATATATAATCCCCAGATCTCCACGCGCGTTTCCCCAAGTCGCGGTGGGGGGTGGGGGATTTGGGGATGTATAATAGCTGACGGGAGGAGTTAGCTCCGGCGGAGGCATTGTGGGCTGGGTGAGATCGGGACAGCCATTTGGCCCTCAGCTTGGGAGGTACCGCAGCGCCAAGGCCCGAGCTGACACTAGAGTCTTTTGAGGGGATCCCGGGGCCGTCACACTGGAGCGAAGAGCACAACGCGGCAGGCCTGGGAAGCCCGGAAACCAGCGCGCGAAGTGCGGGAGCCGGGGCCGCTCCGGCTGCCAGGGCAGGGCGGAGGGCGCCGCGGCCCGGGGCGGCGCTGCAAGGACCCTGCGGCCGGGCCCAGGACCGCCGCCAGGGAGCGCTGCGGGCTCCCGCTCGCCCGCCCCCCGGTAGGCGGGGCCGCGCTCTCCCCGCAGCCGCCGCCGCAGCCGCCGCCTGGGCCGCCCGGTGTACCCGGTGGAGCCGCTGCCGCCGCCGCCGGGAGCTCGATGCGGACGGAGCCCGGGCCGGGCCATGGGGATCCTCAGCATCACGGACCAGGTCAGCCCTCCTGCCTTTTCCCGCTTCCTCCCTCCAGGGCCGGTCACCGCCGCCACGCGAGCCCGGGGATGTGCGGCCTAGGCTGGGCCCGAGCCCGGGGCTCCCGCCCCGCCCCATGCCGCGCTCCCCTCAACCGAGCCTGTGTCCTTGGGGTCCTGGCGACCGGCGGAGACATCGCAGGAGCCCCCTGCAGCCAGGACCCCAGAACGGAGCCCTTCTAGCGATGCCCCCCCCCGACGCCTGGTGTCCCCCCGCACCCCCCCTCCTGGGTTCCGCTCCGGCTCGTTCCCTGAACGCTGGCTCTCCCTGCAGCCGCCCTTGGTCCAGGCCATCTTTAGCCGAGATGTGGAGGAAGTGCGTTCCCTCCTCTCGCAGAAGGAGAACATCAATGTGCTGGTGAGTTGAGATCAGGGAGGATGGCGAGCCCGTAATCTGGGCCCTGGTGTTCTGGACCCCTCCCCACCAGTGGGGCGGCTCCGAGTCTCCTTGGTTCGGATGAGGCCGTAGCTCTTTCCACCCCGGGATGGGCACCTGTTCTACCTCTAGGGATGGGGAGCAGGTCAGGCCCGGAGCACAGATCAGCGAGGCTGAGGATGCCCAGGAACGGTGTTCTCTTCTGAACCAACAGTGTCTGCAGCTACCCCTCCCCTCTCGAAAGGAGGAGACTGCTTCGCGGGCCCCTTGGCCCTGATCCCCTGACTCCACCCTCCCTAGGCTCTTTCAGTGACCCAGGATTGGGATTTAGGAGGCTGCAGAACCAATGGGAAGAGGTTGTGGGGAGAAGCCAGGGGCTCCAAGACTTGGGCTGGGGTCCTCCTCAGTTCACCCCCACAGCCGCTCCTCTTTTTCACCTTACCAGGACCAAGAGAGGCGAACCCCACTGCATGCTGCTGCCTACATAGGCGATGTCCCCATCCTCCAGTTGCTACTGATGTCAGGTGAAAGTGGGGAGCTGGAAGGTGTGGCACCTAGGGAGGGGACCTGAGGGAAAGAGCCTCTTTTTTCATATCCAAAGATTGTTCTCTGGTCCAGGCGCTTGGTCCAGGCGAGGCTACAGCTCCATCCCAATTCCCTGGCCTGATTACTGGCTTCCTTCTCAACCTCTTTCCACCTCCCCTCAAAAGAGGAAATTGTATCCCCACAGGTGCTAATGTCAACGCTAAGGACACACTGTGGCTGACCCCTCTTCATCGTGCTGCTGCCTCCCGAAATGAGGTACAGGTCTCCCACCTCTTTTCACCCTTCTGAAGATGATGAGGTGGTTAAAGGTGAAGGTTAGGGGTTGGAGAGCCTCATTCCTCTGCCTTACAAGCTGTTCTACCCCGGGGAGGGAGAAGACCAGCCTTTGTCCCGTCCCTCCTATCCCTAGAACTGGCTGGTAAGGGGGGACTGAGTGTTGCCAGCTAATGTGACGTCAGGGGAGAGCTTAACACTGGGCTGGCAGACTGCAGGGGGCCCTGCTGCCAGGCCTGAGTGACTCATCCCTCCCTTGGGGGGCCACCTTGGAGTCTGATCCCCCTCTGGGCACTGAGATTTTTTTTCTTGTCTTGGAGGGACATGGGTAGTGATCTGTTGCATCCCTGCACCTCAAGCAGCATGAAATTTGACAGCACAGGGTTCCAACATGTCTCATCAGTTGGGTCCATCAATCCCGAAGAGTGGGGAAAGTAGACCCCCCCCCCTTGGTTAGACAGCCACTTCCCTGGCTCCAGCCACCAGGGAAGGGGTGGGACTGAGGCCAGTGGGAATGGGGTAAGTGGTGATTAGGAGGGCCATTTTAGCCTGGGTTTTGGAGAGGAGCCATTATCTGTTTTCTTACCTTAGGTAATGGAAATGATCTTGATGCCTATGGAAGGGCTGAAGGAAGGTGTTAGGGGCATTAATGTCGCAGGATTATATATCTCTCCTAGAAGCAGTAGGGGTTTGGGATCCTCTACATGCATGGATTTGCTTGGTAGTGACTGTGTGTGTGGGTGAAGATTTTCAGGGTCTGGGTTGGGGATGATACTAGGTGGCTTGAGGAAGAGAAGGGATCCATGATTTCCTCAGCTAAGTGGGAAGATTTTAAGCTCTAAAAAGATCCAGAAGATGGGAAGTAGGTATTGAGAGGCTAGATATGTTGGAAAACTGAGAAAAGACCATGTTGGGGGAGGGGGGAAATGGGGCCACATGTGCCATGCTGACCTTGTTCTTCCTTCCATTTCTTATGTTTTACCTCCTCCCCCTCTGTCATCTCTCTTATCCCCCGCCCCTCAACAGAAGGTGCTGGGTCTGCTGCTGGCACATTCAGCAGATGTGAATGCCCGGGACAAGCTGTGGCAGACACCATTGCATGTGGCTGCCGCCAACCGGGCCACCAAGTGTGCTGAGGCTCTGGCACCCCTGTTGAGCAGCCTCAATGTGGCTGACAGGAGTGGGCGCAGTGCCCTGCACCACGCAGTGCATAGTGGGCATTTAGAGGTGAGGACCTCTCCCAGTCCATGCCTAGCCTCCCTTTCCTTCCTGTTCACCTTCCCTGGCTCTGGGCCATCAGGCCTCAGGAGGAGCACTGAATGAATGGTCAGGTTGGGTTGGAATTCTTGACTTGGACTTCAAGAGGGTGATAAACTTTCTGGAGTTGTATGGAAAATGTTGGTATACATGCCTTTTTCTGAAGCAAGAGCCATGTCTTTCAACACATTTTCAAAGACTTTTCAAAAGGGTTTAAGAACCCGATCACCTGAAGAGACTCCTTTGAGTTTTTCTCAGACTTCCAAGTCTGTGTGGGATCTCCTTAGTGCCTGCTTCCTCTGTTCCCTCTAGTTCCCCAGATTATTCTGCTCAAGAACAACGACATTAGGCTGCCTCAGCCTTTTCAGGAGCTGAGGCCTCTCTGCTCTTAGGTACATTGAGGCCATGAACCTGGCTTTGAACCGGTGTCTTTCATATCCTGATACAGACGGTGAACCTGCTCCTCAACAAAGGAGCCAGCCTGAATGTCTGTGACAAAAAGGAGCGGCAGCCTCTGCACTGGGCAGCTTTCCTAGGTGAGAAAGGATTCACAGGAAGAGCAGAAATTTGACATTTAGGATTCCTAGGGCAGGGAGAGGAGGTTGCAGCCATCAGAGAGAGGCACTCAGGGCCTTAGAGTTCACCCTTTTTGAGAGCATCCTCTCTCTTCCCAGGGCATTTGGAGGTCCTGAAACTGCTGGTGGCACGGGGAGCAGACCTTGGCTGCAAAGACCGCAAGGGCTATGGGCTGCTCCATACAGCTGCTGCCAGTGGCCAGATTGAAGTGGTGAAGTACCTGCTCCGGATGGGGGCTGAGGTCAGGGTGCTGAGCACGGGGGCTGAGGGCTAAGGGCAGGGAGTTGGAGGTCAGAATCTGTTATGGAGATGCGAAGGTGTGGTTTGGAGGAGGCATGGAATATGTGGAAAGAGGGTCTGAATAATACCTTAAGTAGTGCCTTCAGTCGTTTGGGTCAAGAACCTGAGGGGACTGAGGCAGTCATTGGATCTCTGGGATTCTTTAGGCTGTCTCTTTAAACTTATACCTCCCTTACCCACTTACCCTCACCCCTGGAAATCCAGATTGATGAGCCCAACGCTTTTGGAAACACAGCTTTGCACATCGCCTGCTACCTGGGCCAGGATGCTGTGGCTATTGAGCTGGTGAATGCAGGAGCCAATGTCAACCAGCCGAATGACAAGGGTTTCACGCCACTACATGTGGCTGCAGTCTCCACCAATGGCGCGCTCTGCTTGGAGCTGTTGGTCAATAACGGGGCTGATGTCAACTACCAGGTGCCTAAAGGGGATGTGGCTGAGACTAGTGGGGAGAGGAACCTGGCCCCAGGGTCCTGACTGTATCTTCCCTTTGGGATACCTCTCTGGGGGAATTGTCCACTTGCCTCCTGGGTTGATCAGACCTTGCCAGGGACCTGGGAGAGTGTGGGCTGAGAAGATATCCATATGACCACACTGTCCTCAGAGATGTGTCCTTTGTAAGGGGGAACAGGATATTCTCTGTGCTGTGCACTAACAACAACAACAAACCTGCCATGTTTCCACAGAGCAAAGAAGGGAAAAGTCCTCTGCACATGGCTGCCATCCATGGCCGTTTTACCCGCTCCCAGATCCTCATTCAGAATGGTATGGACTCAGGAGACTGTGCTCCCTTCTCCTCCTCCTTTCTCACATCTAGAAACCCCTTTCCTTCCGTATTACACCATCCATTCCATCTTCCAGTCAGGATGGGCACTTGGAGCTCTGAGCTAGGCACCTGTGGAAATGGCCCCGCGTAGTCTGCTCCATCCCCTAAGGCTTGTAAACACGATAACACATGTGGAATGCTTAGCCTGGCACCTGGCACATACTAAGCACCCAAGTGGTAACTAACTACTGTGATTGGTCTGAAGCCTAAGGTTTGTCTGAGTTTGTGTATGTGCATTCCCCTCACAGGCAGCGAGATTGATTGTGCTGATAAATTTGGGAATACGCCACTGCATGTGGCCGCTCGCTACGGACATGAGCTACTCATCAGCACCCTCATGACCAATGGCGCAGATACCGCCCGGTAAGTCAGGGCTCCTGGCCCCACTTCTAGGCTGCCTCAGATCTGTACAGATTGCTCACATCAAACATGGAGGCACAAAGAAGCTTGCCAAAGGGAAGCTCACGATCTTCTAGGCTGGTGGTGGGCCACAGAAAAGAGGTCTATAACTGGTCCCTCCTTGACCCAAGGACTGAGTCCCAGCTTCTCCCCAGGCGCGGCATCCATGACATGTTCCCCCTGCACTTAGCTGTTCTCTTTGGATTCTCTGACTGTTGTCGTAAGCTTCTTTCCTCAGGTATGTGCTAGCTGGTTGGGGGTTGAGCAGGTGTGCAGGGGAGCAGAGGCCTTTCCCCTCTCTGCTCAGTGCCCTCAGATGAGATCTGTGGCTGTTCTGGCCCTGCAGGTCAGCTGTACAGCATTGTATCTTCTCTCAGCAATGAGCATGTGCTTTCAGCTGGGTTTGACATCAATACGCCTGATAACCTTGGCCGTACTTGTCTTCATGCTGCTGCTTCTGGAGGGTGAGTTCTCTTCCCTCTCTCCCAGGCCATGAGAAGAGAGCTGGGCCCTTCCTTTCCTGCCCAGATCTGTCCCCTTCTCACAGTAAGAGCAGTCACAGCAGAAAGGGCTGTCTAGTTCCATCCTTCCTTAGCCCCTCCCTGCACCTGTGGCTTCTCTTGAGGTTCTCACTCTCTTAACCCTCGTCTTCCTTCCTTTTAGGAATGTTGAATGTCTTAATTTGCTGTTGAGCAGTGGAGCTGACTTGAGGAGAAGAGATAAATTTGGAAGGTGTGTTAATGTGCGGGGATATACATAGGGATTGTCTGATTAGAGAGACAAGTGAGCGCGAGGGGTGGGGAGTTGGAGTCTTAAGTGAAGAGAGTATTACAAAGCAGCTTTTGGCTGCACTTCTGGGTGCATTTGGATCTGTCTGTGATTCTTCTACCCACCCTCCCCTACTTCTCCACAGGACCCCCCTGCACTATGCAGCCGCCAACGGCAGCTACCAGTGTGCTGTCACACTGGTAACTGCTGGGGCAGGCGTCAATGAGGCCGACTGTAAAGGCTGCTCTCCCCTCCACTACGCCGCCGCCTCCGACACCTACAGGAGGTGAGGCTCCCGCTTGGCCCTCTCAACCCCACTCACCTCCCTGAGCCTCCCCCTGACTTCTTCACTCTCCCTCCCACAGAGCGGAACCCCACTCATCTTCCAGCCACGATGCTGAAGAGGACGAGCCACTGAAGGAGTCCCACAGAAAGGAGGCCTTCTTGTGAGTAGCTGAGAAGAACCCCTGGGTTGCGCTTTCCCAGCAGTGCCAACTCTGGTCCTATTCTTCTCCCACCCACTGTGAAACCCACTACCACACTGCTGCTGCTGTGCTGTCAGGCAGCCAGCAGTGTGTTTGGAACACTCTTTAGTTTAGTCCTGGACTAAGCATTGTGGGCAAAGACAAAAGGATAAGACATAGTTCCTCCCCTTAAGGAATGGATGGTCTTGAGAGGATCAGAAAAACCAAACACAAAATCATTTGTTTATTCCACAAGCATGAGTTGATTACTTATTAGATACCAAGTACTATGTTAGGTACTAAGGATAAAGGATGAATTACCCCAAATTACTGCTTTTTGAAAGCTATTAACCTGTTGAGAAAGATAAATGAAAGGGCACTTATATTCTAATGTAAGATGTTGATAATGGGAGACTAGGCATGGAGTAAATGGGAACTCTGTACTATCTTCACAATTTTTCTGTAAACTAAGACTTCTAAAATAAAAGGTTTATTTTTTTTAAAAGGGTACTTAACAATCTAAGAGTCTCAGCTGTGTGACCTTTGACAAGTAACTTAACCTCTCTGTACCTCAATTTCCTCAACCATAGTAGGGATAAGACTAGTATCTACCTCATAGGATCATTATGAGAATTAAATGATTCAATGCACATGAAGCGCTTAGAACAGTCCTCGACACATAGTAAGTGCTAAGCACTGTGTTATCACTAGTACCACTACGACTAAGCTGTGAGAAGGGTGCCAAGGGAGTACCCTAGGAAGGCTGGGGAAGGCCTCACAGAGAAGAGGATACTGGGACCAAGTTTGAGATGAGTAGACTTCTACAGATGGACTGGGAGGAGAAGGCATTCAAGGCAGGGAGTCAGCGTGCCTGGAGATGAGGGGAGAGTGTCAGTCAGCAGAAGGTTGATAACTGTCACTTGAGCGCTAGGTTCTTGAAGAGAGCGTTCAAAGGATAAAGGAGGGCATTGAAGCCAGAGTGGTACAGGGGAGACCTGGAGGAGGGGTGGGTCTGGAGCTGGGGTCGCATGGGCAGGAGTTAGCCTACCTAGAGCAGAGGCTGGGTGTTGGCCAGCTAGGCCTGGAGGGGCTCCCTTGCCCCATCTCTGCCTCTCCCAGAACTGTGCCCTCTTGGACTAGGCCTGTCCCCGCCTCACAGTCTACCCCTGCCCCCAGCTGTCTGGAGTTCTTACTGGATAACGGTGCAGACCCCTCCCTGCGGGACAGGCAGGGCTACACAGCTGTGCACTATGCAGCCGCCTATGGCAACAGACAGAACCTCGAACTGGTACGTGTGGGATCTGGCCTGGGATAAGGGAGACAGGGGCAGGGCACACAGTCTACTTTTATGTTTGTGGATTCTGGAACCAACGGGTGACTGAGTCAAATGTGGTCTCTAGATCAGGGGCTCAGGGGATTACTGTGGGTGGGAAGCAGGGATAATATATCGGGAGTTCCAGAGCCTCAGCGCCTGTTGTCCTGTCCATTGCAGCTCTTAGAAATATCCTTTAACTGCCTGGAGGATGTGGAGAGCACCATTCCAGTCAGCCCTTTGCACTTAGCTGTGAGTCCCATCCATTTCCTCTTGCCTTCCTTGTTGCTACTTGCCCCAGGCCCGCACATAGGTGCACACACCTGTGACTCTGTCCTTGCCTCTGCCTTCTTGTGGGGATATGGCAAGCAGGCAGTGGTCTGGAGAAGGGATGGGCCAAGTGCAGGTTAGGGGCCTGAGGGACCTGAGAAGCTTGTGGGGAGGACCGCTGCCCAGTTTCATCATGGGCCCCAAGAGCAGAGTGGGGCAGTGTTCTGAGCTTCTGAGCTGTATCCGTTGGTTGCCTGCACCCCTCCAGGCCTACAACGGTCACTGTGAAGCCCTGAAGACACTGGCCGAGACGCTGGTGAATCTGGATGTAAGGGACCACAAGGGCCGGACCGCGCTTTTCCTGGCCACTGAGCGAGGCTCCACTGAGTGTGTGGAGGTGCTTACTGCCCACGGCGCCTCTGCTCTCATCAAGGAGCGCAAGCGCAAGTGGACACCCCTGCACGCTGCTGGTTCGTATACCCTTTAGGCTGTTCCCTCCCCTTGTCACACCAGGCCTTGGAGACTGGTCCCCAATTCCTCCTGAATGGTACTGGAGTTGGGAGTAAAGTGGGGCAAGGAGGATGGAAACTTCCTGTCCTGATACGTAGCTTCCAATCCCCCTGCCCCAGGTCTTCCCCTCATCTCCACCCTTGAATCATTTAGCCTTGACCTGGCCTCTCTCCCCTGACCATGCATTGACACGGGCCCCCTTTCCTCCTAGCTGCCTCTGGCCACACTGATTCCCTGCACTTGCTGATCGACAGTGGGGAACGAGCTGACATCACAGATGTCATGGATGCCTACGGACAGTGAGTGTGGGCCAGGGACGGGGCACAGGCTTTCCCATCCCGGCCGGCCCTCACCCTTTGTCCTGCCCCCTCTGTAGAACCCCACTGATGCTGGCCATCATGAATGGCCACGTGGACTGTGTACATCTGCTGCTAGAGAAAGGATCCACAGCTGATGCTGCTGACCTCCGGGGCCGCACCGCCCTCCATCGTGGGGTGAGTGAGCTCCTGGGTGGGGTTGCTCAGAGCCAGGCCTGGACATGGGAGCACAGGACATCAGATTGTCTAGCACTTGGGCCAGGATTTTGTGCCCAGGGTCTTATTGGGCCTTACTGTGTTTGCTCCAGGATGAGTACCTGACGTCTACAGCTGATCTATCTGATTGCCTTGCTTTATAATCACATGCCCTACCCAGGCTACCGCAGGATACCCTGCCGGCCCTGTCCCTTTGCGTAATGATGCCACTACCCTGGTTTTTCTCCACCATTGCTTTTCCTAAAGCTGCCTCCTTCTCCATCCCACGGGATTCTTTCATCCCTTAGTTTTCTTTATACTCTGTCTCCCACTTCAGAGCGCCAGGACTCACTCTTGCCATCCTAACTGGCATAGAGAGTGAAGGAAGGAGATGCTGTTCCCTAACACTTAGAATCATTGCTGTAAAGACTAGGTTTGGAGCCCTCAATGTGGTTCTTACTTCTGGGCCAGCCGCAGTGACTGGTGATTGGAAAGGGAGTGGCTCCTCACCCCTACTCCCTACCCCCATATTCCCCATAGGCAGTGACTGGCTGTGAGGACTGCCTGGCTGCCCTGCTGGACCATGACGCATTTGTGCTGTGCCGAGACTTCAAGGGCCGCACACCCATTCACCTGGCCTCGGCCTGTGGCCACACCGCCGTGCTGCGGACCCTGCTGCAGGCTGCCCTTTCCACAAACCCCCTGGATGCTGGGGTGGATTACAGCGGATACTCGCCCATGCACTGGGCCTCCTACACTGGTATGGTCTGGCGCCTTTCCAGGCACAGGAATATGAACAGACTAAGGACCAGTGGGTTGAGGGAGGGACCTGGTTTGATCCGGATCTGGATGTGGAATGGAGTGTCAGGAGGTGGGCAGGACAGATGGAGGAAACCTTGTCATTTTTCTCCATCACCACTCTTCCTTGCTCATACCCAGGACATGAAGATTGTCTGGAGTTGTTACTTGAACACAGCCCATTTTCATACCTGGAAGGAAACCCCTTCACTCCTTTGCACTGTGCAGTGTAAGTCCCTTCCTACACCTCAGCCCCTCTCAAAGGTATGTGACCTGTGCTTAGCACAGGCAGTCCACTTCCCTTGCCCCTCCTGCTGAGCCGCCTTCTTCCCCCAGAATTAATAACCAAGACAGCACCACAGAGATGCTGCTGGGAGCTCTGGGTGCCAAGATTGTGAACAGCCGAGATGCCAAAGGACGGTGAGTGGTGGAAGGTGTGGGGAGAAACCAGTTGCCTCTCTGGCCTCCTCTTTCTGCCCAGGCGGAAGAGCCTTCCCGATCTCACTGCCCTGATCCCACCCCGCAGGACCCCTCTTCACGCCGCTGCCTTCGCGGACAATGTCTCTGGGCTCCGGATGCTGCTGCAGCATCAGGCCGAGGTGAACGCCACTGACCACACTGGCCGCACTGCGCTCATGACGGCGGCTGAGAACGGGCAGACCGCTGCTGTGGGTGTGTAGGGGCCGTGTGTGGAAGGGAGGAGCTCCCCTTGGGTTTTTGCAAGATGGGTCAGCCCTGCCTGTGGAGTTCAGGAAGCAGGAGGCATGTCTTTGGGTGTTTCACCTTCTGCAGATGGGATGCAAAGTGTATGCACATAGGAGGTTGGAGAGTCAGGAAGGCTGCTGCTCTGGTGGGGAGGCGTCAGTCCCTCTCTGTCCCCTTTCTCTTGTAGAATTTCTGCTGTATCGAGGGAAGGCAGACCTTACTGTGCTGGATGAGAACAAGAACACTGCCCTCCACTTGGCTTGTAGCAAGGTACTGCCTGGAGTGGTGGTGAGGAGGGCTGCATAGGGCAGGAGCTGATGAAGGAGGCTGGGGCTGGCTTGATGGGAGAGAGGACGGAAGTAGAAATCAGGATCGGCTAACCTGCCTGATGATGGGAAATCTCTTGGCCCCACCTGCCACCCTCCCCGACTCCTCTGTGGCCTGGCATGCTTCCACTTCACAAGTTTCTACTCAATTCCTCTCTCTCAGGGCCATGAGAAATGTGCCCTCATGATCCTGGCAGAAACCCAAGACCTTGGCCTTATCAATGCTACCAACAGTGCGCTGCAGATGTGAGTGCCCAGGGAAGGGGCTCCTGGCTGGGGGAGGCAGGTGGGTGAAGAAAGAGCCACCTGCGTTCCAGGGGCTCTCTGGCGCTCGCCCTAGCTACTTTGGTTGGGAGTGGAAAAGCAGCTTGGCATCCCGTTGACTTCATGCTCCCTCTCTTTCCTTTCTCCCCAGGCCACTCCATATTGCTGCCCGGAATGGTTTAGCTTCTGTGGTGCAGGCCCTGCTGAGTCGTGGGGCCACAGTGCTGGCTGTGGATGAAGAAGGTGGGTGGGGTCTGGAGCCCACCGCCTCTCCCGGGTTTGGGGTCAGGGACATTCTTGAGGAGGTGACTTCTTAAACTTGCTATAAACTGTATTTTCTTCCCAAGGGAACCCTTTAGAGCAGGGACCCAATACCAATACGCTAGAGTCTCTGAGGGAAGTCTACTGGAACTAGGTGGGGCTATCGGGGTCTTCAGGAAGTACCCCTCAGCATCCTGTCCCCCATGCTCCGCCCTTAGCCCCACCCCTCAACAGTTTGCCTGTTAGCTTTCCTGGGTCCTCATGGTCCTTGACTTCTGGCCATCCCGGGTGCTTGCCTGCCTTGGTTCCCTCCACAGATAAGAAGCTCAGGGCCTGGGGGAAGGTGAATGGGGACTCAGAGATCCAGAACCCTATTCCTCAGTTCTCCCCCTTGTCCTGCAGGTCATACCCCAGCACTGGCCTGCGCCCCCAACAAAGATGTGGCAGACTGCCTGGCCTTGATCCTTTCCACCATGAAGCCTTTCCCACCCAAGGACGCTGTCAGTCCTTTCAGCTTCAGCCTGCTCAAGAACTGCGGCATTGCAGCAGCCAAGACGGTGGGTGGCTGCGGGGCCCTGCCCCACGGGGCCTCCTGCCCCTACAGCCAGGAGCGGCACGGCGCCATTGGGTTAGATGGCTGCTACTCTGAGTAGCCCCCCTTCAGTGTCCCTCTCCCTGCCGGTGGCTTGATATCTTATTCTATTTATTTAGAAAGTCTATACATTTAGGGCACTTTAAAGGAGAACACGACTGGGTTGGGGGGCGGAGGGGGAAAAAAAGCACTGGGGAGCAGCTGCTCACCCCTTTGCCACACCATCCTGGCCTGGCAGGGGTCTGGAACCGACAGGGCGCACCCCAGGCCCTTGGTACCCCCAGGGCAGCCCCTTCTGCCAAGTGTCCCAAAATGATTGCTAAATGCCTGGCTCCCCCTCTCTTTTACCCCATCTCTCAGTTCCCCTTTTCTGCTGCCAGCTCCCCCAACTCTTCCCTCTAACTCTCCCTTCTGTGTCCCCCTTCCCCCTGCCCCTACTGCCAGGCAGATCCCCTCTTCTTCCACACCCATCACTGCCTCCCTGCTCGGCCGCCTCCTCCATCCCCGCAGCAGTGAGAAGCCTTAATTTCTGGTACTGTGTGAGCACTCTGGGGGTGTCCCCCTCCCCCTTCAGGGGCAGCTAGCGGATGAGGGGGGAGGGTATTTAGCACTGGGGCCTGGAGCTTTTCCCCCACTTCTATACCCCATCACCCCTAAAGTTCAAATGCAAAACACTTGAAGCAGCAACTACTGTACCTGGGCCCCAATCCTGCACTCTCCCCTGGCTCCTCATATGCAAATCAAGGGCTGGTTCTGCCCCCACAGCCTGCCCCTCCTGCTTCCTTCCCCCTCCTGGCCCGGCCCCCTAACCACGCACTTTAACCTTGCTTCTTTCTTTTAACTTCTTTTGGGAGGGCAGAGTCTCTGGCCATTCCCTCCCTGGCTCTCCTCTCCCTTAACTTTGAGGCTTGTCATGAATTTTTAAGTAAGCATTTTATTCTTTAGGGGAAGAAACAAATTAATTTCCTGCCCATTTCAAAAACCACAGCCCTAGTATGTCCTATGTGTTTCAGGCATGTGTTTGCATGTGTGTGGAGGGGGGACTGTATTCTTCCTCCTGTGTCCCCCAGTCCCATAGTTCCTCTGTGCTCCTCGTCTGCCACCACCTTCCATTATGTCCAAGAGTACCCACTGCCCCCAGTCACTCCTGATCTGAAGCCAAAGATGGTGGGAGGGGCAGGGCAGACTAGGCACACCGTCGCTACTAGGGACCCAGGCTTCCCCTCCAGTGTGAGGAGGAAGCTCTGATCTAAGGAACAACCAACAGACCCTGAGGCTTGGTCCCTGCCTTCCCAGCAGCAAAGAGAGAAGGGATTGAGCTAGGGGCTGCACTGAGAAGATTCCTCAAAGTGGCACCCCAAAAGCCAAACTGGGCCAGAGTGAGGAGGGGGCAGTTGTTTTCTCTAAATGTAGCATTGACTTTGGCCCTGGTCCCTTCAAACGCCCTGTCCATCCATCTCCTAGTTAAGCCTCCTGGACAGTTGGACCCACTCCCACTCCCGTAGCCCAGTGTTCCCTTCCTCACACTCAATACCTCAGCCAGGGGCCAAGACACAGAACTTGAATAGAGGTCATGCCCCCTCCACTCCCACAGTGCATCCTTGCCCAGTTTGGCTGCCATCAGTATTGTCCCCTGAGAACTGGACAGGCTTCGTTTACACAGTAGAGGGTCTCCCCTGGGGGGTCCCTCAGTCTCCTGCCCCTACCCATGCTTGCTTTATTCACAGTCTTACCCACTTTTCAGTTGTGGCCCCTGCAAATCTTGCCACCCTTGCCAAGGGTGGGCTGAGGGGAGAGGAGGCATCCCAGGGCCCCTCTATCCCTAACGAATATCCTTAACCATACCTCATGCTCGTTCCCGGATGCCTGGGGTGTTTGTCCAAGTCCTTAATTCTGTTTGTCATGGCCCCTTTTTATCCTCTCTCTCTGTGTCTTGCTTCCCCCACCCCTCAGTTCCTAAACCATTTCAAAGCTTCCAAATGACCATTATTGGTGAGAAGGATTGTGCAGCTTTTTAGTTTTTATTTTTGTTTTCAAAGCCAAAGGGCCTTGCAACGCCCCTCTTGCCCACCTCCCTCCATACCCTGTCCTCCCCTATACGACAATCAATGTGACCTCTCTTAAGGGCTGCAGCCCCCCACCCCTACCCTGCTAGTTCTGCAGAGCTTGCCCCCTAACTTCAATTCTCTCTCCTGAAATCTTCCCATTCCACCCCTCCCTCTCATTTTGGTGCTGGGAATTAGGTGGTGGGGGGCGGGGGAGCAGGGAGCTGGGTCCTCCAGAGAAGAAGACTCTCGGGGTATCAGTCGTGTTCTCCTTTATCCACGTTCGGCGATGACAGGAAGAATTGGAGTGTTTGTCAGGAGCCCCATCGTTTTGCTAGACGAGATTTCTGGTGGCTGCCTGCTCCCTGCTGCCTGTTCAGCACACCGTCAGCAGTGCTGGGGCAGGTGGTGGGGCCTCCTTTGTCCCTCCTCATGTGGCTATGAGGAGGCCTGGAGGACAAGCAGCCTCCTCTCCTTATGCCAAAGGAAATCCCACACCCCACCCTGGGTTCTCCAGCCCCTAGTATTTTTTGAAGCATTTTGACCATTCTCATGGCCACTGCATATTTATTTTAATGTTAAGATTTTTTTTAAAAACCTCTTTGACTTAAACGGGTGTGGAGAAGTAAAACAGGCAGAATGCCCCCCAATATTCAGGGGGTAGGGTGGGGAGGAAACCTCTCCTTCCCTTCGCCCGCCCTCTTTTCCTCCCCCTCTCCCCACCGCAGCTCTAAAGCACTTGCTTCAAGTAATAAGCACTTTTGAGAAAAAGCCTATTTTAAGTGAGGACCTGGGAGCAGCCCCAGGTCCCAGCAGAGGAGACAGCGAGGGCTACATAGGAGACAGGGAAACAGACTAGTGAATCAGAGGGCGAGATGAAAAGAGCGTTTTTAGTTTCTGATTTTGGGGGGATATGTTTCTGATTGGGCGGTGGCTTTGGTAGGGTTGTGTACTATCCTTCAGTAAAACAAATGGCACAAACTGTGGGTCCCAGGATGGACCAACAGACCCAGGTCACTGCCACTGCTCCGCTGAGACTGACGGGCCACCTCCCCCACCCCCTGGCCCCCTGAGCCATAGGACTGCTGAAAACCACTGAATGTACAGCCCAGGTTGGGGTGGGGAGTAGCCCCTGGGGGAGGGGGCTTCTCCTTTTGTTTGGTGCTGTGGGGGGTGGGAGAGATGAGACTGAGGGACTGCCACCCCACGTAGACATGTGTTCCTTGGGGTGGAGGGGCTGAGGAGGGCCCGCCTCCCTCTCCAGCCCCCGCCATGGCCCTCTTCTTCCCTCATCCCGATCCGTTTTGACTGTAAGTCCAGCTCACCTTTGCCTTCAATATGTAACCAAAGGAAAACTCAATACTGTTTCCACCGCTGTCTGCCCACCCGAGCACCTTTTTACTCCCTGGACCTAGAAGGGGAGAAGAGGCTGGGGATGCGAGGGGTGTGGGGCCAGAGTGAACGGTTCTACAGCTGTATCCCCAAAACCTTCTCTGGGGTCTTGGAAGAGGCCCTGAGAGGTGGGGTGGGGCCAGGCTGGAAAGGCTGGGAGCAGGCACACTCTGCATCTTGTGCACATGCGTGTTTCTTCGTCTGAATGACTCCAGTGACTGTACTCCAGCAGGGAGGCCCCTTCCTCTATCCCCCTTCGCCATTCTTCACCCTCTCCCCCACCCAGTGTTCATCCCCCGCCTCCCCTTCCCACCGCAAAGGAAAATAGCCTTACAGACCCTAGCCCAGAAACCCTCCTCCTGGGGCAAACCAGTGTGGGGCCCCATCCTGCCTAGTTTGAACCCTACCTTGTAAGAAGGAGGGAGAAGGCGCAAAAGCAGCCCCTTCCCCCCCCCCCATCATGGTGGCTCCAGCCCTCTGTGGCCTTGACCCACCTGGGCAAGGGCGGAGGTGAGGAATATTTGAGGACCAAGCCCAGTGGTCTGGGAAGGGGGAGGTAGAGAGGGAATGGTCTGACTTGAGGACTCCCACCTCCCAACCCAACCCCTAGGGAAGCGACCAAATCCCAGAGATGGGAGGAAGCTGGGGTGGGGAGGGTCTGCTCTATGAATTACTTGAAGGTACTGACTCCAAGGCTGCTGTTGCCCACTTAGGTGTGAGGAGGACACTGTCACTGCATCTGGGAAGGCAGAGGGTGGCGGGTGACCAGAGAGGATCTGCCCTTGGCCCGCCCCCACTCCTGCTAGGCCCCTTCCCTGGGGAGCCTGGCTTTGCCCCCAGGGAAGTCAGGGAGAGCCTTCCCCTCCCATCTCCATCCCTCACTCTGGGCACCCTCTCCAATTGCACTAAAGTAGCTGTTGTGCCAGTCTTACCCCCACACCAGGGTGGGGTCTCTGCTTCCAGTCCTTTCTCTCCTATTGCCTCCGCTCCTGTCCTGGACAATCTCCTTGTTCCCTGTATTCCTGGATAGCTCAGCTTTGTATGTGTGTGTTTTGGGGGTGGGGGTGGGTTCCAGCTGGAGTGGGTTTGGTAGGGGTTTGGGAAGGGCTAGGGGAAAGGTGGAGGATGAAATCTCCTACCCCCTTCCTCAACTCCAAGCCACAGAAGCCTAGGAGGGGAGGGTACCTACTCTCGCTGCCGTATGTCTTGCAGATGTGCCAAAATGGGGGTGGGTGGGAGGGGAGGGTGCCTGGCAGAGCGGCCCCCAGGGTGGCTCTCTCAAAGCAATACAGTTCCTCCTGCCTGGGGGACGGCAAGACAGGGGAGAGGGTTGGGTTGGGGACCTGAGGGTTCCCTGTGTATAGCTATGTATATTCAGGGGTGTTCTCTGTCTGGTACCCACTGTGGGCGTCTATGTGTGTGTGATCCTCCCCTTCCCCATGCCCTGCATGACCTGTGATGCTGCAGACACCACCATCCTGTGTGCAGGGGTGTGTTGGGGGCACTGAGGGGCATGTTCCATGTCCTCTTGCACCCTCCACCCTGTGACCCATGTACTCGGTTGTAGGAAGTAAAGAGAACTGAGCACAATTCACTGGATTCTAGTTGAATCTTTCTCTAAGCAATTTTCCCTTCCCTTCTCCCTGCCTTGGAATCACCTGTGGTGCTAGCGTTGGGGTCGGGGGTGTTTAATGCTGGTGGGCAGCAATAAAGGGCAGATCTGCCCAGATGCCTGTATCCCCAGGGTGCTGAGGGTAGCAGGAAAAAGTGGGGACCTCGGTGCATTGCCCCACCCCTCCCCCTCCTCCCTGGGCTAAAGCACAATGCTTTCCCCGAAGAAGATTGAGGCACCCTGTACCCTCCAGGCCCCTACTCATGTCCTCCCCAGACCTGCTTGGAGCCCTCCCTCCTGCCACATCCTGGTTTTCTATGCTGTTTTGGTGCAAGTATAACTGTCGTAGTCATGGCTTTGGGATGGGTTCTGTTTATTAAAATCCTATTGCTCCTACTGGCCCTGTGTCCCGCCTCCATTCCTGTGGTTGGGGGGAAGGAAGGGCAGGCTGGACGCCTTTCCCCTGGCCCCCATCAGCCAGCAGAGACCAGGGGCTGCAGCTGCTCCTCCAGCAGGGCTATGGTGAGCATGAGGCCGCCCCCCAGCAGCAGTCCTAGGCCCTGCAGCAGCACTTCGAGCATACGGAGGGGTTCAGGAGGACGCAGCAGGGCTGGTAGCTGAAAGAAAAGAAGAAGGTGTCAGGAAGCATTAGCAGCCCCCACCCGAACTCTTCCGGGCCCATTTCTCAGGCTGCCGGCCTGTGACCCAGCACCTTCCCAGGTGGCCGTTGGTGGAAGTGGGGGGACTAATCCTTCCCTCTCCTCCACACCCCCCTCCCCGCTTCCCTCAGTTTCTCTGCGCTACCCCACACCTCTCACCATGTCCACAAGGGCCACATAGAGGAAGACCCCGGCAGTGACCCCAAACACCCAGGGAGTGAGAGGGGCGGGGCCCAAACTTAGCCCCACCCCCAGGGCTGCGCCCGCCAGCCCCAGAGCTCCAGACACCAGGCTCAGCAGCAGCAGCCTCCGAAAGGACAGCCCTGCCCGGAGCAGCATTGCAAAATCACCTGTAGGGAAGAGAGGACAGAGTAAGAGGAAGTAAGCCGTGCTGCCCCTTACCTATGTCACCCCACCAGCCTCCAAGTTCCACCCCAACCCCACTCCCACCATTCCTACCCAGTTCGTGGGGCAGCTCGTGGCAGAAGACCGCTAGGGTAGTGCTGAGGCCACTGGAGAAGCCATGAGAGAAGGCAGCACCTGGGGGTGGCAGAATTAGAGATGGGTAGTCCAGAAAACACTCCCCCGGGAAGGGGCCTACATTCCCGCTGTGGTCCTCTCATCTCCCCGCTTCCGGGCAGCCCTCTCCTAGCCCTAGCCAATAACTAGAAGCCTCTGACCTGCCTCCCTCAGTCCCTCCCCTCACACCTATGGCCAGCCCATCAGTGAGGTTGTGCAGACCATCTCCCAGGAGGACCATCCATGTTATATTGGCATCACCATTGCCCTGGTGACCATGACTGTGGCCTTGGTGCCCAGGAGGGACTGGGGCTGGTGGAGGCTGGCTGGCCTGCTCCATGCAGCCCTGAGCCCCTGGCTCTGCAGGAAGAAGGACAAGGACAGTGTTGGTGGCTGCAAGTGAAGCCAGGAGCTGGGAGCCTCCTCTTCATTTTCTCCTCCGGTCACCTGGAACTGCCTGTAGGGGCTGAAGTGCCATCCCACTGCCATCCTCCAGGTTCAGGTTCGGTGTTCTGAGATCTTTTCTTTTTCGCCTGCAGCATCTCTGAAACAGGAGGGTATCTGTCTCGGTGGAGGAGGCAGCAATGCCGGACGCTAAGGAGAGACCAGGCTACTCCTGGGAAAAGCAACACCTGGTGCTGTTTCTGGCACTAGGGGATATTTTTTTGGCCTCTACTCTCTTCCCAGGTTGGCACCTCCCTGTTTCTTGTTGCCTTGAACTCTGAAGAGGAGGCTGTTCGGCCAGAAGTCCTGGGTTTGGGAGGGGGCCCTACCCAACTCCCTGTTAGTGGTCAGGGCCTGCAGCCAGGCAAACAGCAGAGCCAGGAGCACACTTGGCCCCTCACCTCCTGGCGCGTGTGGCCAGTTCTTGGCTAGGACTCTGGTCTTGGCAGAAGGAGGAGAAAAAGGTGTCACTCACTGGCCTGAGCCCTCGGTGCCGCAAAAGCCCTAGCATGTTCTCCAGCATGAAGAGCAGGAAGAGACCACCAAGGACCGACAGCCCGGGACCCAGATCATCTTCCGGTTGCCCGCTAGGTCCGGCATGCTGCTCTCCTTGTGCCTGAAAGAGAGGAGGTCAGAGCAGACCCCAGCAGCCCCTGCACCCCACGACATCCCCCTCCTGGGTGGGAGGTGGCACGCCTTCACTCATACACTCTACTAGAAGGCAGCTTGTGGGCTGACAGAGGGGAAGAGGATGGCCTATGACTGGGAGCACCTCGGATACAAGGGGGCTGGCCGCCAGTAGGGCAGGGGAACAAGGAAGGGGCTCCACGTACATGTGGCAGCAAGTGTAGCAGTGCGTCCCCACAAAGAGTGCCCACGGCTAGGGCCCCCAGGAAGCCCAGCAGGGGCCGCAGCAGACGAGATCCCAGGAGCCGCAGCAGCAGCAGGGAGAGGGGAGCTGGGAGGCTGAGCAGCAGGACAGCCAGGGCACTGTGAACCAGGGCTGGGGAAAATCGGGCTGAAGTTAGGCCAGGGCTGGAGGGAGAGGCTCAGAGACAGCTATGCTGCAAAAGGAGGCAGGACCCCAATGAACCCCCTTCCTTGGCTTGGAGCCCACTCCCTACCCAGGATTCAGGGTGCCCCACCACCCACTCTCACCCACTGACCAGACAGTAGATCCTCTGAGGGGGCTGGGGCTGGGGCCTGGATGCAAACACGGCTGTCGATCTGATAAAGCAGGGCTGGGCACAGCAGAGCAAACTGATGAGGGGTCAGAGGAGCAGCGGGGCTCAGGCCAAAATTGACCAGCAGCTGGGAGCCATTCAGACACTAGGGGAGTTGAGTTGGGAATCATACATTGAACTGTGACTCAGAACTTTAATGCCTGCCCTTCCATTGCATACTCCTGGGTCTCTCCCAGGGTCCCCAGTGCATCAGGGACTAGGGACAGGTATGTATAATCAGTGTGTGTTAATTATTAGTGAATATTCAATCCAATGCAAATATTCAATTCGGTGCAGATTGAGTGCTAGTGAACATTGCCACCACCTCCCTCCCTCGCAAGCAACTGATGATTTCAATAGCTTGGTCATAGAGTTGATTAGACAACTAGAGCTCTCCAGTCCAGAATCTTAGAAGGGGAAAAAACCTGAAATGCCATCAACCTTCCTCTCAACAGCCCTGGCACGTGTTTATCTAGCCTTGGCTTGAATGCTTCCTGCGATGGGGCACTCGCTCTCACGAGGCCTGCTTCAGGTTAGCTTTGGCTGCCTTCTGGTGTATTGTGGAACAAGTTCACTGTCTTTCTGGGTGAAGAGAGCCGTTAGCTCCCTCAAGGTCTCTCCAGATAGCCAATCCCACAGCCTACCCTGGGCTGCTTCTCTGGTTTCTCTGCTTTGCCAAGTGTGACCCCTAAACTGGGTCTGGGAGTTCTGGGTGTGTCTTATCTGCTCTGAGCCCAGAGGGAACATATTTCATATTGGAATAACATACCCTAAAACATATCTGGATTTCTTTTTTTAAAAGAGTAATTGCATGGCCGGCCGAATTTCTCGGTTGGTTAAGAGCTTGTCCAAGAGCATGAGCTCTGAGCAACAGGGCCGGGCCGCCAGTTCGATTCCCACATGGGCCAGTGACACTGTACCCCGAGCTAAGCTGCCGCTGAGCTGCCAACAAGTGACAGGATGGCTCAGTTGGTGAGAGCACGTGCTCCTAACAACAAGGCTGCTGGTTTGAATGGTGGACTATGCCCACCCGCAACTTAAGACTGATTTCGGCACATTGAGCTGAGCTGCCACCTGTTGGCTCAGGAGATAGTGTGCACTCTTAACAACAAGGCTGCCAGGTTCAACTCCCGCATGGGATGGTGGCTATGACCACCCACAACTAATTGAACACGGCACCTTGAGCTGAGCGGCGCGACTGGGCTTGGAGCTGAGCTGGCTGCGCCCTCCACAACTAAGATTGAAGGACAACAACTTGGCTGTTCCCCTTTCCCAATTCCCCAACACCGTTCCCCTCTCCCAATTCCCCAATAAAATCTTAAAAAAAAAAAAAGTAACTGTATCAGATTACTGACTCTAAACATTTCATGCCATCTAAGTCTCAGGCTCCTTTCCCCTCTCCAGAGGTTAGCACACTCACATCTTCATTCAGATGGTCAGCTAGTGAATGGTCCAGCAGCAGCAGCCTGTGAAAGAGGTCCAGGCCCGAGGGGGCTGGCCCATGGGGGCGTGGTGGGGCCTTTGGCTCCTCCAGGTCACCCCACCCTGAGGGACCCAGAGGCAGCTCAGCCCAGACATCCACACTCAATTCAGGGTCCCGTGGCCTAGAACGGACGGATGGGATAGCAAGTCAGACTTGCCCATGCTCTCTGAGAAACCCCCTTGAGAGGCTGCCAGGGAGCTTAGGGGAAAAGGGAAGACCAGTCACTGGCTGGAGTTCTTGGGACCCAGAAACCATGGACTTTCAGTCCTGGGAGGATCTGAGAATTATCAGCTTATAGGAATGGGGGATAGGGAGTTGAGAGGAAACAGGAGTTGGGAGACAGCCAAAAATGCTACAATTGGGAGCCAAGTCAGGCTGGAGACATGGAGCATTGGGACTAAGAGCAAGGTGTTAAAGGGCCCAGGCTTTGGAAGAGGAGAGAATTAGAAGGCAATAGAGGCAAAAGAGGCCTTGAAGGCATACAAGGTACAGGCTCTGAAATACTTGTAATCCCAGGAATCTGATTTTAGGATCCAGAAAATTTAGGCAACTAGAGACTGAGCTAAACATAGAAGAGCTTGAATGTGCGATTTGGGGGTGGAGGAAAGGGTCTAATACCTGTGTGTGGAATTGTCTCCAGCTGGGGTTATAGCCGGACCAGCCGGAGGCCCATGATGTCCCAGGCGCAGTCCCTGAACTCGGCCTAGCCCTAGGCTGTGCAGAAGCCTGGCAAGGCCCCCTGCAGTCAGCGTGCCATTCTCCCCATACAGGCCGAACAGCTGGGCCAGGTAATGGTTCTGCTCCTGCTCAGCAGGGCCCAGGTTGGGGGCTGAGCCCCCTCCCCAGCCTAAGGCCACACACATACACAGGCCAGCCAGCAGATGACTCATTGGGAGCCCCATTATTGGTGGGAACTGGTCAGAGGCTGTTTCCAGCTTCTATTCCCCCTGGAACATCCTGAGGACTGTGCCCTGGAAGAACAAGGAGGAAGGGTCGCGGTTCCTGCTCGGCTCTGCTGTCCAGCTCAGGGCCAGAGGGAACCCCTCACTCATATAGCTCCCATCTTAAAGCCAGCAGCAGCCCCCACGCTAGCCTCCTTCCTCTCTCCCCAATGCCTCCACCTGAAGCAGCCTCTCCTCCTCTGCCAGTTCCAGAAACACCTTCCCTGACCCAGAGTGCTCCCTTCACCCGATCTAGAGCTGACAGTCCAGTCCCTGTTCCCTAAACCCCACCCCTCAACCTTGCCCCACCTCTCTATCCCCCCTCAATCCCCAGGACTTCACCCCCACTGGTAGCCTAAGCGCCCCGTCACCTCAGGTCCCCGTCAGGCCTTGCAGTGGACACTAAAAGGTTCTTGAGTCAGGGAGGGGAGCCACGCTCAGCCTCCAGGTGCCCAGGTGGAACGGAGGCCACGTCAGATGGAAGGCTGGCATGGACAAGCCCCCTCCTTCCCCCAGCCCACTTGCCTTGGGGCGGGGTCAGGGGTGGGGCAAGTGTGGGAAGGCTCACATGAGAGAGAGGTTAATGGTTCACTGGTCTCTTGGGTGGGGGTCAAAGGTCAGTCTCTGCTGGGGCCCCCAGTAGGGAGGGGCCACGCCACCCTCTGCCCCTGGAAAAGCCACATGGCTAAGGAGAGTCTGAGCCTGAACTTTTCTTTGAATCCATCCCCTAACCCAGTTGGTACCATTTTAGCCTTTCTCTGAATATACTCTCACCCCAACTACCTTACTTCTGGCAGTGGGCTTCATTCATCTCCACCCCTATCCCCACATTCCCTGGGAAAGCTGGGCCCAGGTATCCCAAAGCTGGAGAGGAGGGTGAAGAGGCAGATATGCGGCAATCTCAGATGCATGGGGAAAAAATTGTTTTTAGCAATTTGTTACCCCAGAAGTGTAAGAGCCAAAGCTCTGAGAATCCATGACCAAGAAAGGGGAAGTTCTGGCGGGAAGAGGGAAGAAGTATCTGGGCTCCCCTCAGATGTCCCACATGGCTTAAGATCAGGGGAGCAGAGTATGATTGGGGTGATTGGTCCAGGGGTAGAGGTTGGTATTACCTGACAGCAGGAGACAGAAAGGACGCCGAGAGGAAGGGGGACACAGCCTTCTTGGTTCCAGCTGTGGCTGGGGGGGGGAGGCAGACAGGCGGGCAAGGGTCACCTGCAGGGAGGGGGCAGGGGAGGGACACTACCTTAAAGGGGCAGGCCTGTTTTGCTAAGGCCTCCTTAACAGTAATCTATCTCCCCTCCACCCCCTAGGAACACCCCACCTTCCCAAACGCCCAGCTGCTAACCTCTTCATTTTCCCACCAAAAGCAAAGGAGTCCAGGATAGAGTGGTAACATTTATTAGGAAGGAGGGATTCAATTAGACTTCCACATCACACACACACACAAGAAACAGACCATAATGGTCGTTTCTAAAGAGGAAGGGCAGACAGAGAGCCCGGGATCCCAGGGGACAGGCAGCTTCAGCTAACCAGGGCGGTGAGGATAGGCTTAGGAGGGGTAAGGCCACTGCTCACCTCCCCTTCAGTGACGTTTAGTGACTAAAATACTGCTACCTACCCCGTTCCCCCCAAAGCCAGCAGCCCAGGAGAAGGCTGTGTTCTCTAGCAGACACTTGGGTTATGGTCGGTAGCAGGAAGGGAGAAGAATGTCTTGCTATCTCTTGCTGCTCCTCCGGGTTTCTTTGCCGTTACTGACAGGGTTGTTGGAGGGGCCGGGAGGGCCGGCAGGTGTATGGTTGGGCTGGCTTCGGGTAATTCGAGTGCTGGGGGGGTGGGAGGGAGTGTGGGGGGGGTGCGGGCCACCACCAGGACCTGGTGGGGCACTCAGTCCATTCCCATTCTGGCTTTCAGAGGCTAGTTGTGGGAGAAGGGGAAGAAACACAAGAATTAGAGAATTACGGGACAAGAGGGGTCCATCCCAAGGCACCCTCCCATGCCCCAGAGAGCAGTGCAGTCTTCATTAAACACAACTGCACATTAATAGCAACTGGACCAAGTGCAAAGAATGCAGTTTATATAAATGGGAGTTCCAGGGAAAAGTCAAACAGTCATTTTGGAAGTTGCTACGTGAACCCTAGTACAATATTTTTCTCTTTTATTCATCTCTGTATTATTGGGAGTCAGATCTAGAATTAGCTGTTTAGTTCTAGGCTTAAGACCTCTGATAAAATGCCCCTTTACCAAAATTGACTGTAAAACTGGAGAAGCGTGGGAAGTAGAAGGGCCTGAAGTTTCTGTTTTACAATGTAAGGTATGGTGTGTATCACAATGACACATGTTCATTTTAAATGTTTGGTAGAGCCAGGTGTGTGAGATGACTTCCTGAGCTCCCATAACTGCATATCACTATCATTGCACTCACTACATTGTTTTATAATCGTCTATGTGACTCTTTCATAGACTACAAGCTCCTAAAGGCAGATGCTGTGTTTTATTCCTTGACATTCCTCATCTATAAAAGTTTGTTAAATGAAGGCAGAGGACTGCCTCTCGCATACATAGGGCATTATGAACTCTAAATGAGGTAGAAGTCATAGGCTAGTGCTTCTCAGACCGTATCCTGTCTAAGCCCTGCTGCTTCACCAGACTAAGATATCTGCAGCCAAAACTAAAGAACAATGAATGCCCTTTCCTCAATTCACAGAAAAAGTCAGGAGAGTGCATAGAAAGTCAATGCTAAGTTTTTAATGCCAGGCATGTTTTTTTGGTTAAGCCTATTGTACCAACTGGCAGAAGACAAAGTGAATAAACATCTGGCAAATGACTACCAGGAACAAACAGGCTTAAATGTATCTTATTTTAAATATTTTTATAAATTATGTAGTTATGGAGACCTGAAAATATGTAATAGTCATATTTTCAGTTGAAAACATGGATGCTAATTTTTGTGGTGGAATTAGATGTAATTTCATGGTGTTTCCAAAAAACACATAACCCCCAGTGGTTCTGACACAAACGATTCTGAAAACCATGGTAACTGGGGATGCAGACACAAACTGAGGAATAGAGGCAGCCTGAAGCCTAGGGAGAAACCTAAAGCGTGGATCTGAGGCCAGAGAGAACCAAATACCCAGAGAGCAGTAGGGTCAGCTGGGAAATGATCCAGAAGGAGAAAGGAGCAGTAAAAACCAGATTCTTGAGAAGCCAGGGGATGGAGGAGGTGGTGTTGGTGAGTGATTTTAATCAAAAGCTGATGATTTGCAGTAAGGCCCCAATTCCTCAAGAGACCAAAAGCAGGGGCTTGAAGTATATACACAAGATGGAAGAATCGTAATCCTGAGGACCAAGGCCTCGAAGCAGGGCCTTTAATTTCAAGAAGAGTGGTGACTCCAGAAAGGAAGTATTTAGTGCTCCAAAGCTCTGTAGTGTGGACTCCATGTTGGTCATATAAGCAAAACTGTATATTACAACTGTATAATAAATAAAAATGGGCAAGGGAAAAGGGCAAGGTTCTGCCAAAGAAGAAGCAGAGAGAAACAGCTAGAATGAAGGAATGCTCTCTATGTGGAGAAACTGTCTTCATTTTTGCCTTTCAGTGGTAGTGACAAAAGAGTCCCAGAGCTCTAGCAGTGAGAAGCAGGTCCCCAAATCTTTTCTCCACAGGGACTTGTGGAAGAGCTTGGAGAAGAACTGGGTGGAAGGGGATATGTTGAGAGAAGACAGATTTAGAAAAGGGATGAGGGCAGTGCATCTCTCAAGGCTGGGAAGAGTAGAGGAGCTAGGTAGACCGGCTGGAAGGAAATAGGTTTACCTGGAGAAGAGGCAGGGGGTCCGGTGGTAGGCTGGGGAGCTGTAGGGCTGCTGTCGTTCTGCACCTGAAGGCACAAATTACACACTCAGACCTTGCTCCCTACCATGCTTCTTTTCCTGACCTGCCCTCTCCCACCTCATGGCCATGAGACTCACCGTTTTGTTGGGTGCCTGCTGGGCGCTGTACTCTGGGTTTGGCTCACTGAAGTTAGGAACCTCAGAATAAACCATACAGAATCTGTAAAGGGAGAAAGTGGCCAAAGCCTCAGACCCATCCTCTGGGCCACTCCTGGAGGCCTCAGAAAGGTCCAGATACAGGACATGGATTGCACACCCTTATGCTGCCTCCTTGTGAACCTTCAACTTCCCCCCGTTGGCCTGGTGCTTCTACATCCCAATCCCAAAGACAGTACTTACTCTCCAATCTTCTGAAGATCACCCCCACGGCCAGTGTACAGCGTCAGACAACCTTTGAACACTGAAGCGTAACTGTGGGGGAACAAAAAGCAAGATTTAGAGTACTCTGACGAGTTACAGGGACTGCTTACCTCACTCCCTTGACTGTTACTGCCCTTTGATAGCCAGGAGTCACCAGCTGGCTTACCCTTTGGTGAGCCGGATAATGTCCCCTGGCTGGATCAGGTTGCCCACGTCGTCCCAGACGGAGATATTGATGCTGCCAGTTTTGTCTGCCACTTTGCAGGTACGAACTTCGTGACCGTCCTTTGTCTTGGTCACTCGGCCTGGAGGGTACAGATGCATGGGGGAAAGGGATCAGAAGGATGAGATCTAGATATTCGTGGGGTGAGAGAAAAAGTGCACAAATAACGCAAAGTCAAATCTCTGGGGCAGGCTGGGGTGGGGGTGGGGAGTGAAGGGGCCAGCACCATGGAGAGGGCCCTGAATAGAAAGATGCCTGCGTGGCACTGGAGGCTTGGATCTGGCCAAGAGTTACATCTACCCTACACTTCACCGCAACTTTACGGGCTGGAGTCTAGGAGAGTGATTTGGCGAGAGGCAAGTCTCAGGGGGTGCCCTGCCACCCAAGGAGCAAGTTAAGAACGGAGGCGGTGTTCTCTCCTTCTGCCCCCCAACCTCGGGAACCCGCGCAGGGGGCCCACCGCCCCAGCATAGCCACCTGTCTCCAGCACAATGAAGATAAGGTTCAGATTCTTGAGCCCGGGCTTAATATCCTTCACGAAGGTCTCCGTCGTCATGCTGCCCGAGCCTCAGCACCCCACCTAGAAGGGGAAAAAGGGGATGAACGCTCAACGCTTGGAGCCTTCTTCTGAACCTCCACTTCCCAAGGTCTACCTAGAACACTTGACTGGGATCAGGCAGCCTCAAACCCTTCTAACTCTTCTAAAAGGTTAGAAGCGAACTTTCCCAGGGACCTCCAACTTCAAGATCAGAATTTGGGGGTCTCTGTATAGGCTGCTTCAGGGCTGGAAGGCCCCCTCCTGGGATGCTCTTTTAGTCTCAAGCCCCGAGGTGGGGGAGCCGAAGGAGATGTGGATAGGGAACCCGGTGCAGAGTCAGGGAATGGAATCTTACTCTCCAAACCTTCCCGAACCCTTATCCGGACAACCCGGGATTCGGTCCATCCCCTCCCCCACCCTCAACCCACCACCCACCCAGGCCGACCGCTGGACAGTGTATGCTGATGAGCCGCCCGCAGGGGGAGCCACAGGCCCCGCTGCCGCCGGATGCCGCTCAATGGAACGCGGGAGTGCGGATATTCCCGGAAGTTTCCCTCTGGCCCCTCCGGCCAATCAGATTGCGCAGCCCTGGTGCGCCCCCCAGCCAATCCGGACTCGAGGTTCACGCGCCGCGAAGGGGGCGTACTTTAGGTATTAAAGGAGCCTGGGAGTTGATGGGCTCCACAATGAGAAAGGTACACCACCAGGGGGCGCCTCGGGTTCCAATTTTCCTTTCCTAGACTGGGAAAATGCACTCGGGATCTAAGATTTTGTTTCTCTCCTAGACGTGACACAGTGGAAAAAGGAACAAGGGTTTTGGAATCCGGCGGACAGAAGTTTGAACCGCAACTCAGTGCTTCTTTTCTTTCCCTGACAGTTCTTAAACACGCAATTCCATTTTGCAGACGAGCAAATTATATAACAAGCAGTGCCTAGCACATAGGAGACAGTTTCCTCCTCGTCTCCCACTGCTCTAACCCTCAACTTTATTCCTGACTTGGGGCCCTTCATCTTTAATGGACTATCTAGCTTGATCCGAGTCTCTGGGAAAAGTGGCATTCACACCACAGACAATAGGCAAACTCACCCCTTTCAAAGAAATGGGACACGGGGCAGTGAGCAATATTTGCTTTAGTCCCTTTCACAGTTCAAAAGGCACCTGTTCCTAATGCACTTTTCTCACTAGATGTCAGGGTTCCCTCCCATGACTGAAAAGGAGACCCGAGCCTTTAGTTTCCTTTGAGACTTGTTAATCAACAAAAGGTAGGTACCTCAGTAATGTTGCGTATAAGTCAATTACATATAAACAAATATACATAAATGTGTATTATCATTTGCTTAGCGAATATCCATAACAAATACTAGTTTCAGGTTAGCCTAAGCGGTCATGTAATTGTAACGCCTTCGCTTGCTTAATTAATCCCTTACCTTCTACTAAAGCGCTTTAGGGTCCACCTTGCCTCTCCTTGGAGCTCAGGTTCTCTCCCGCCCACACCCCCAACCACGATGTTGTATCCTAAGGAAATCAAACCACAACCCAGGGAGAGGGACATTTTATCTCCCTTCTCTCCCCTTAGGTATTTCAGGTAACTCCACAAGTGTTCAGAGAGACAAAGTAGATAACGGCAGGAGTGCGACTAGAAGAGAGGCGGGCAACACTTTGGACACCCTAGAGCAAAGCCTTGCGGTGAGATACTCCCCATTTCCCACCCCGTGGTCGTCTGGTTGAGACAATATCCACTCCCGTGACTATGAGTCATAGGGTCGGGAGGCTCCGAGATGCTGACCACAGCTCTGGAAACGAGAGAGGCCGGGCAGATGGCAGGTCACAATGCAGGCTAGCCAACTCGAGACGATCTCGCACCTCGCCGCATCAGCCTTAGGATACCCGACACGTGCGCCCCTCGAAGGCGAAGTCTCGCCCTCCAAAGGAGTCAGCCTTGAGAATCGGCCCCTGATGTTCCCACTGGGAAGAACATAGAGTTCTCCCCTACCTGGCTATAAAGACTTCCGGTCTAGAGCGGAGGCTTGGCTAGCCTTCCTCTCTCCTCGTTGGCCGCTCGTAGCTTCTAGTCTAGATTTGAGTTAAAACCAAGAGGTGGGGATTGGTGACGAGCTTCCGCCGGGTTGCGTAGCAGCGGTGGGCGGGACAAAGGACTGTCTCACAAGGCGACTAGTGGTCGGAACCTTCCTCCCTCTCCTTCCCTTCCCCTTCCCCTCCCAGGAAAGGCTGGGACACGGCACCGGGGCTGTCCCGTGGCCGCTGCGGCCTCAGCTCCAGCCGGGCTGGGGTACCGAGAGTCCAGACCGCTTCCAAGGCGGTGCGTACTGCGCCTGCGCGGGCTCCCACCTAAAAGAGGGTGTGGGAAGGGAGGGGGCGAAGTCCCAGGGGGATTGGGGTGGGGGTTCGAGATATTGGAGGTCAGGATAAGGGATAGGAGTAAAGAGGGAAAATGGAGGAAGGGAGCAGCAATAGGGAGGAGTTGGAAGGTGAGAAAGGGTCACTGGAGGGTGGGTGGTGGGGGAGGTTTATTGTAGTAGGGAGCCTTAAGAAGTGCGGGAGGGGGCCTGGGTTGGCAGGAGGACAGGGAGGAGGGGACTTGGGGGAACAACGTAGTGTTTAAATGGGCAGTGATTGATGGGCCGGGAGGAAGGGAAGGGAATATTCTGGGGGCCAGCCTGGGGCAGGGGCGGTGGAACCTGAACCCCCGCCCTCGGAGCGCCGTAGCTTGGCTCGTCTCCCATGCCTTGTCTTTGGCAGCCTTGTCTTGCTCCTCCATTCCTTCCCCCCCTCCCCCTCCCACCCCTCCAGTAAGGAATCTCACATTCCTTACATCCCTGCCCTGGGTTTGCGGCCAAGCCCTCTTCGCAGGCTTCACACACCGGAAAGCCTTTCCCAACGCAGGACGTAGGGGAAATTGAGGAATGGGAGGGAGAGGGAGCTGAAGGAGGAGTGAGGGTGTTTTGCTTGAGGGACTGACATCTTTCCCATTCAGAAACTGACTTCATTCCACCTAACAGAAATGTGGCTTTAATGAGACCACTGAACCACGGTTTTTGGGGACTGGGCTGTGATAGTGATAGCTAATCCCTTCCTATACAGTTGGTTTTAGAGTCTGACAGACAATAGAGCAAGAAGCTGATAATGTTTCTGGCTGATAGATCCCCCCCCCCCAGGAGGAATGGAGTAGACTAGTGGTAGGGAATCTGAGTGATGCAATAATGTTACTACCCTGTGTGTCCAGCTAACTTTGTGGCTGGGCCTGGTTCCTAGTAATTGAAAAGAAGGAATGAGCTTTCAAGCATTCCCTCGCTGGCCCTCAGTACAGTATTCAGTATGCTTTCACATTTATTATGTTATTTGATTTTTCGGGACAATATATAAGGTAGATAAGGCAGGTATCATTTTCCCTACTTGACAGGTGAAGAAATGGAAAACTACAGAAGGGTTACATGGCTTGCTGAAAGTCATACAGTTGGCAAAGCTGGGACCAGAACCCAAGTCTCCTGACTCCTGGTCCTCCTGTCAGTTGAAAAATCCTGGTTGATTCTGGCCAAGGGAGCATCGAAGTAGGATTGATTTTCCCAGCATGGGCAACTATTTGCTTTCTGAGTCTGGAATTTGTCACTAGAAGACTGAGCAGAGCCAACAGCACTGGTTCCTGGAAGCATTTATTGAGGTACAGGGGGCATATACCAGGCTGTTGGGAAACAGGGTGTTGTCAAAATGAAAGAAGCATTATACCCTTCCCTTTATTATGAATGGGGGAGAAACGTATCAATTTACCCCGTCCCCCAACCACAGGGAAGAGAAAGTGTTAGACATTGCACTTTTATCTCTGATTAGTTTAAAAATAGCACACTAAACACGTAGCAGATGAACAGTAAACTAATGAGTATGTGTACCAGACTCAGAAGATGAAATGGTCCCTGTTTTGTGTATAAAAATCATCATCCTGTTCCTTCCTAACACAGCCCTGAATCTATCGATAGACATGTGATGGTGAGGAAAGGTGTGAATGGTTGCTATTCTCCTGCATAGGGTTAATAGATCTCTCAGCACTGTTCATCTGAAGCCTTGTCTCCCTCTACATGGTTCCATCCTTTTAGTAATGAGAGCCTAGTCAGCCTAATCATTACTACTACCTCTAGTCTTCCCAGTTGTCCATCCTGGAATAATTGCCCGATTCAGTGCCTCTTCATATTTTTTAAAAAGCCTGATCCCTTCAGGAATATTTCCTCACTTGGGAAGTTGAATTACACCTGTACCAACATTCTTGAATATTTTTTTCTTATGAAATAGTATTTTCCAATTGGAAGATAGGACCATTCTTTTTACATGAAATAATTTATGTGAAAGCACTTGGGAAGCATGAAAGCATCATACTGTGCAGGTGAGGTATCATGGATCTAGGCATCTTACAGCCACAGCTTTAGAATCATTGATATTGCTGGTAGTTGTGTGCACAGAATAAAAGGATCTTTGTCTACTTAAAACAGCTCCCTTTCTCTCCCCTTGTTCCTTTCTCTCCCCTTCTCAGCTATGTTCGAATCTCCTAGACCATGTGTGTGATTCCTTAGCCAATGATCTCGTTCCTTACAGGGGAGTCCTGTATGCCTAGCACAGAAACCTGTAGCCCTTAATGAAGTTGTCTCATCCTCCCCAACCAACTGCCAGATCCAAGTCTATCCAGTCTCACTGCCAAGTGGAGGTAGTTCCCCTGACTCACCTTTTTCTTCCTTGTTCCTATTAATAGAGTGCTGATTGTGACATCATATCCATCCCCTTGGCGATGGAGTTTGTCACTAGGAAGGAAGACTCAGTTGAAGAATAGCCAACAAGATGGGTTACTGGGAGCATCTCCTGAGTGGCACTGAGTGGAGGCATCAGGGGGTTGGAGCCTTGTGAACAGGGAACCTGCCCCCCAACACTTGGAAGGTAAAGAGCCTTGATTCAGAATCCCCATTCCAGGTTTCAACCCTCTTCTCTGCCAATCTGGGTTCTTTCTGCTCCTTTCTTTCTTGCCTTTTTTTTTTCTTTTCTTTTCTTTTTTTTTTAGCTGAGCCATCCTGCCACCTGTTGTCAGCTCAGCGGCAGCTCAGCTCAGGCTGGGAATTGAACCTCTAGTTGCTCAGAGCTTGCACTCTTGAATGAGACTTAACCAACTGAGCCACTCGGCTGGCCCCTTCTGCTCTTGAAAACTTGATTTTTAAAACACTTTTCTGCATAAAGCTTTCCATGATTAACCCACATCAGTCTGTTTTTTGAGTATCTTACATTAGCTATTAACTTTTACTTATTGGTAAATTGCTAAGTAAATTTTATGTCTTTTTATGTATTTTATATGCTGTGTATTCACTCATTGGGCTCAAGCCTACACTTTGGTTTGAGGACAAGGATTGTGTTTTCTGTTTCTTTTACATGTCTCTCCTGGTAGGGGGGCTGTGTATATAGGGTGAAGATTTGGGATAATCACACAAATAATGCTTGGTGCTGGTGACCAAGGAGGAGGTCCTTGCTGGCCTTTGAAGCCTGGTAGGCCTCATTTTAGGTGTTACATGAATTCTTGAAGAACTGTGTGCCATCTGGATTCTTTTGTAAAGTGAATCCATTAAAATGCACTAAAGACGGCCAGCCAAGTCGCTCAGTTGGTTAAGAACTCATGCAAGAGTGCGAGCTCTGAGCAACAGTGGTTCGATGCCCGGCCCAAGCTGAGCAGCCACTGAGCTGCCAACAGGTGGCAGGATGGCTCAGCTAAAAAAAAAAAAAAAATGTACTAAAGAAGCCTAACTTTAAAATCCCCTGTAGTAAATCCAGTATGGATCACAGCATTCTGGAATTGAACAGAACCTTAGAGGTAGTGTAACCCTCCCCCTCATCTCACAGGTGAGGAAACTGAGTTCCTAAGAGCTCAATTCTCTAAGAGGGGGGTGTGACTTCAGTCTAAGGATTCTACTGCTTAACTAAAAAAGACCACTTCCTTTCACTTAAAAAAAATCAAGAGTTGCCCAAAGAGAGCCAAGTCAGTTAGTGGTAAAGCCAGGACACCTTTTATAACATAACCATCCCTTAATTTACCTAATTTTGTTTTATATGCTGAATTTTAGAACCATGGCACTTGTAGAGCACCTTAGAACTTATGTAGTCCAGGAAGCTTCATTTCATGTGGAATAAAGGAACTGAGGCCCGGAGAGGTTAAGTAACTTGCTCAAGGTCACACATTTGGTCAGTAATAGAGGGAGAGCTAGCACTCAGTTTTCTGGATTCTTGACTCATTTTTCTTTTTTTCCAGACCTATTCCTTCATTGTGAGACAGGGAGATAATGATGAAATGTTTTAGGGACACCTGTGAGACCCTTCACCAGCTAATTTCGTCAGCAGGTTGAAGTTCTAGGAGCCACCTGTTTCCTTACACTGGGACAGGTTATAGGGCCTTTTCCCTGTGTGTCTGGTGGTTTGCAGTAATTGGGGCTGAAGACACCTCAGCCCTCTGCATATCTGTTGTATTCAGGGCAGAGAGGAGAGTTACAAGGGAGCACATATACCTGGCTTTTACTCTTATGCTTTTGCCAAGAATTGGTGACAACAGGCCCAGTTACCCTAAAAATACAAATTATGGGTTGGAGTGGCTTCTCTAATGTTTCTTTTCAGGTGAGTGTTTGGATGTGTGTGTGAATGTGCATGGTTTGCACACCTGTACATGGGTTCAAGAAACCCCGAATAAGTAAGAATAAATGTTAGGGTTCCTTTAGGAACAGTCTGTTTTGAATTCCTAGTGCTCTCTAGGTATAGACCAGAAAAAAACAACTGCAACAGTAAGTTAAAAGGGTATAGGAAGGGGTCTGATAAAGCTCTTGCGTTTTTATAATAATGCTGACCAGGAATAGAGAGAGAGAGACCCCAGTGTAACAGCGAGGAAGGAAAGTAACATAATTACCTGGTTTGGTTGTGACCTGCAGAATAGCAGATGAGGAATGATGCATTTTTCAGTTTGGGTTCAGGATGTTCAAGTCAGGGAGACTGGCAGAACGCCTATATGCCGAAAAGACACCTCAGTGCTACTTTTGTTCAACTCCCTACTTGAGTGAAACCTTCCAAGGCCTTTTCTTATTCCCTAACTCAAGGAGAGTATCTAGGAAATTGTGCTTCCAGTGGCTGTGGTCACTGGCTGTGACTCTCGAGGTTTCTATGGTTTCACTTTTATTAAGGCTTCTGCCCCCAGGGCAGTGAGCAGTGAGTTCTTGTGAGGCATCCCCCTTAGAATGATATCCTTCCCCTCTGACAGCCCTACAGCTGTTGAGAGTCCTGGAGAGTAGAAGGAAAAGTCAAGGAGTCTAGCCTGGGAACTTGACTGTCTGCCTGTGACAGAGCAAGGCAGAGCAAGGAGCTGGCTTCCGAGGTTGTATAGAAAGAACCATGTCAACATTCATTTCCCATGGATGCCAAATAGGGAATATCCCAATCAGATAAGAAATCTAAATTTACCCTTCATTCTTAAGGCGGCACCCCTGAAGGATGCATTTATAGGAGGATAGATAAAACAGGAAATTTTCTAAGCTGATAAGGTTGTTGGTGGTGATGGGGTCAATTTAGAAAGAACAATGCCCAGCATCTCTGCAGAGTTTTGTAAACCCTGACTTTATGGTGGGAACCTTGCAGCTTATAACCCTGCCTGGTGGCTTCCCACATCCTCTGGCCATCTCTGCACCAACTGAGGCAAGTTCTCTGCTGTTTATTTTGGGGATATGGGATCTCCTGAGACCCCATTAAGATAAGTTTTCAGAATTTGTATTCCTTCTTAAGACAATATTGTTAGCACTGATTTAAAATGAAAGTATAGTGAAGCACAGTACAAACTCTAGGCCAGTTTTCTACATTGCCCCATAGCAACAGGGAAAAAAGGGTAATGTTGGGCCCGCCGAGTGGCTCAGTTGGTTAAGAGCTCGCTCAAGAGTTTGAGCTCTGAGCAACAGCGGTTTGATGCCCAGGCCGAGCTGAGCTGCCAACAGGTGGCAGGATGGCTCAGCTAAAAAAAAACCCAAAAAAACGGTAATGTTATTTTAATTTTTGCCCCTTGCTCTAAGGATAACTGATTTTTTTAAAAATTCAATCTTGCGGAAATAATATAACCTAGATCAAAAGTATAATCTCAGCAACTAGATTTTTAAAAATGTGTATACACACTACATATATTACTTTTTAGTTTTTAAATTGTTTTTATAAAAATGGTACCATAGGATACATAATGTTTTTGTAACTTGAATTTTTCAGTTTGAAAGTCATTTCAGCACAGTGGTTAAAAAGCTTGGGCTCTGAAGCCAGTCTGCCTGGGTTTGAATCTGGCTGAACCACTTGTTAGCTGTATGATATTAGACAAATATTTTAACCTTTGTGCATCTGTTACTCATCTGTAAAATACAGATAATGACAGTCCCTACCTCATAGAGTTGTTGTGAGAACTAGATGAGTTAATATACAAGAAATGCTTAGAATAGTGCCTACCATATAATAATGCTCAATAAATGTTGACTTCATTATTATTTAATTGTATAAGTAAAATGATCATTATTTTAAAAAGTAGGAAAAAACCAATAAAGCAAAACTGAGTGAAATTAAAAGTATTAAAAGTCTGCACTGAGAGATAGCTTCTTTGATACAGAGAGTGCCAAAAAAAGTATACGCATTTTAAGAAAGGAAAAAACTGTATTAAAATTGTAATACAATGAATGACAGTAGCATTCGATTAACACCATCTTATGAGTGAACGTCATACTACACATTGCTACCATAATTCAATTCAACTTCAAAAAGTAATATATAGATAACACCTCTTAAAATGTGTACTTTTTTTGGCACCCCCGGTAGATATCCTTCTTTTTTTTTAATTTTTTTTTTTTTAGCTGAGCCATCCTGCCACATGTTAGCAGCTCAGCAGCAGCTCAGCTTGGCCCAGGCATCGAACCGCTGTTGCTCAGAGCTCGCACTCTTGAGCGAGCTCTTAACCAACTGAGCCACTTGTCCGGCTCTAGATATCCTTCTAGATGCTCTCCAATATAAACGTGTACAAACATAAATATAACTATACTTTTTAACAAAAGTTGCACTATAGCATATATAACATGCATAAATATGTTATTTTACTTGTTATATAAATAATAAATACATTTAAGTAATTTAAGTCAATTATTAATAAATATGTTTAAGTCATATTAATGCCAAATGGTATCTTATTTTATGGATGTAAAGAATTTTACTGAATAATTGTGGTACTTCTGATTTCTTTTTTGCTATTATAAACAATGCTTAGATAAACAACCTGGTATATTGTTTTTACACCCTTGTGTAATTATTTCTTTAGGCTAAGTTCCTGGAAGTGGGAGTGCTAGGTAAAAGGGTATATACTTTTGGGGGGCAGTTCCTATTTTGTTTTGTTGTGATTCAATTTGATCAACTTTTTCTTGCAAGAGTACATTTTTTTCCAGACCTTGGTATAGTATATGACGTTATATGTGTCATACATATATGACACAGATAGCATATGACACATTGAGTATTTTGGACATGTTTTTTTGTTTAACCTTAATACTTTCTTTTATAATTTAGAATAATTACAGATTTATTTTTTTAAAAGATTTTTATTAAAATATAGGCAACATACAATATTATATTAGTTTCAGGTGTACACAATAGTTATTCAACATTTATATACCTAAAGAAGTGATCACCATAAGTCCAGCAACTATCCGACACTGTACCACGCTATCTCAGTATTATTGACGATATTCCCTATGCTGTACAGTACATCCCGTTGACTATTTTGTAACCACCAATTTATGTTTCTCAGTCCCTTCACCTTTCCCGCCCTCTCCCCTAACTGCCCTCTCCCCTAACTGCCCTCTCATCTGGCAACTGATTTATTTCTTCATTTGAATAGTGAATACACACACGGAAAATCTTTTTAAAAGGCACAAAAGGATAATTAGGGGAATTAAAATTTTCCTCCTATCTCTGTTCTTTAGTTATCCCTCCTCAGCAGCAACCACTATTGGCAGTTTCCTCTGGATCCTTCTGGAGAGTTCCATGTATATGTAAGCACATACACATACATAGTGATTTTGTGCTCATGGTGGCATACTTTACATATAATATTCTGTACTTTCGTTTTTTTTCTCTTAACAGTCTATCTTGGCAGTCTTTTCATACCTGTTACATTGATTTTTTTTCCTGTGACTCATTTTCTAGCTATTGTAGAGAAACCAAATTACAATTTGTTTATTTAATTGAGGGACGTGTTATCAAGTCAGCAGTTAAATAGATGAATTATAGATATTTGGGGATATTTTTGCCCTCATGCAGAAGCTAGCTCAGATAGCCCCTCTTCTTGACTTTTTCTCTTGCTTCTTCGCCTTCCTCCTAGCCCTGGACTGCTAGAAAGGCAGCGGCTGACATCTAGAACAGCACTAACCAGCCTTAGGTTGTATTAACTGAAGTAGAGAAGTGGGGGTAATAGTCTTATTCTGTCCGTATTGGTCAGTCCACATATGGAGCTCTGGGTACCCTGTTTTAGAGGGACATAGGCATTCTGGAATGCCATGAGAGAAGTGCGTCTGGGCTAGATACTTTTCATCTTTGCTATTGCTACACCCTACTTTGCTCTTTCCCAGGAGTGTCTAAGCACAGGGTAACTCACTGTTGGTTACTGTTGAGAGGATTCCTACCCTAGGACGTTAAGCCGGATGGTCTCTTATGGTCCATACTAACTGTTGAGGCAAAAATAAAACTCTCTTAACCAGGTCAATGGGAAAAACTGGGCATGATCAAATTCTACAGGGCATCATCTTTTATTCCTGTACTTCAAAAATAAAAGCATTCCTATAGTTTTTATCCTCAAGTAATTTCTAAATTAAAAAATATATTTTTTTCCTATTTGTTGAATTACGATTTTTTTTTTAAAGATTTTTATTGGGGAATTGGGGGGATGGGAACAGTGCTGGGGAATTGGGGGAAGGGGAACAGACAAGTTGCTGTCGTTTTGTTCTTCAGTCTAGTTGTGGAGGACGTTACTTCACTGGCCCAAATAGGCACCATCAATGCGCTCTTCCCAGGCAAGGCAGATCAGTCACCGGCTTCTGGACGGCTGCTCACTGTGGCTGCTGGCCGCTCACGCTGGCTGCTGGCTACACACAGTAGCCCATGGCAACCCACTGCCACAGGGGCTGCAGCCTACGCCTTCGCCGGCAACTCACGGCATCCCAGCTCCAGGTTGAGCTGTTGTTCAGCATCTTAGCTGTGGAGGGCAGTGTCACTGGCCCTCATATGTGGGATCCGAACCGGGGCCCTCTGGCGTCCCAAGCCAGTTCTTAACCATTGTGCCACTCGGCTGGCCCCAAATTACAATTTTTTTAAAAATGTATACTCATTAAAATATTTGGTTATCAAAAATAGGAGAAAAAAACATTATCTTTAGCTTACACCCAAATAAAGCACTGTTAACATTTTGATATTTCCTTTTGGTCTCTTTTTATGTATGGATTATTTATAAATACATAATGTTTTTAAATATATCTGTGTTCAATTTTGTGTCCTACTTTGTAAATCTACACGTATTATTATATCACGTTATTACAGATTCCCCATAAACATCATTTAACATAGATATACAGTAAGTCCCCGACTTTGACTTACAAACGAGTTCTGTTCCAGGAGAATGTTCATAAGTCGGATTCATTCGTAAGTCCGTCAAAGTGAGTCTTACACACCTTTGACACAAATATGCAATGTAAAGTCAATGGTTGAACGATTCATGTTATAAGAACGAGCAACGTCTACCATCTTTTCATCTCTGTCCAATCTCTCAATTATTTTCACTTTTGTTTCCATGGTTATTGATTTGCGCTTCCTAGCAGTCCCCTCCACATCACCACTGCTTTGCCTCTTGCTTCCGGACATCCTGGGCTCTGATTGAGCACTGTATCATTATACACTATCACACTGTACAATAAACACACGGCAGCACAACTGTGACAATGTCCGGCAGACACGTGAGCTACTTCAGCGATTTGTTCACATCTACGAATGTTCGTAATGCGAGCTCTGTTCGTATCTGTGAAAGTTCGCAACTCAAATATTCGTAAGTCAGGGACTTACTGTATTCATCAAATGGGCTTATATCACCATAGTCACCTAACTGTACCTTTACTGTTAATTTAAGTGATTATCTAATTTTTAAGTGTTTCTTGGTATGATTTTTTGTTGTTGTTGTTAAAGATTTTTTTTTTTAATTGGGGAATTGGGGGATGGGAACAGCGCTGGGGAATTGGGGAAAGGGGAACAGACAAGTTGCTGTCCTTTTTGTTCTTCAGTTTAGTTGTGGAGGACGTTGCCTCACTGGTACCAAGTTGGCACCATCATTGCGCTCTTCCCGGGTGAGGCAGATCAGTCGCCGGCTTCTGGACCGCTGCTCACTGTGGCTGCTGGCCGCTCACGCTGGCTGCTGGCTACACACAGTAGCCCATGGCAACCCACTGCAGCAGGGGCTGCAGCCTACGCCGTCGCCGGCGACTCATGGCAGCCCAGCTCCAGGTTGAGCTGTTGTTGAGCATCTTAGCTGTAGAGGGCAGTGTCACTGGCCCTCATGTGGGCTCTGAACCGGGGGCCCTCTGTCGTCCCAAGCCAGCTCTTAACCATCGCGCCACTCGGCCGGCCCTTGGTATGATTTTTTTAAAACCTACCTGGATCTCTTTTTCTTTTTTTTTTTAGAAATTTTACTGGGGAACAGTGTGTTTTCCCAGGACCCATCAGTTCCAAGTCAAGTAGTTGTCTTCAGTCTAGTTGTGGAGGGCGCAGCTCCTTGGCCCATGTGGGAATCGAACCAGCAACCTTGGTGTTATGAGCCTGCACTCTAACCACCTGAGCTAACTGGCTGCCCCTGGATCTCTTTTTGTACCATTGTTCCTTCCTTCCTGCTTTAGAGGTGTCCCTCTTTCTATTTAACATAATTCCAGATCACCTACCTACTGCTACCTCGGTGACCAAACCCTCTCCTGTGTTTATCTTTCCCTCTTCACTAGTGCTTTCCTCTCAGTACACAAACATGCTCAAGCCTTTCTCATCATAAAGAAAAACACCCCTAGTACAACCCACTTCCTTAACCTCCTGTCTTTCTCTAGCTAGTTCTTTCTCTTTCCCTTCCTTTGAAATCAAGCTTTTGATGAGTTATCTTTAGTTCCTGTCTCTGTCTCACCTCCTGTTCACTTGGAACCACTACTGTCTTACTTTCACTTCCAATAGCCAGGCCAAGGTGGTTGACAGTGACAATTTCAAAGGGATTGTTAGTAAAGCCCACGGCCCTGAACTTTTAAGGCCCTAGAGATGGAGAAACAAGTATATAGTGGTGATGGAGGTTATTGTAGTAATGTCACAGGGTATCATTGTTCCTATATAAAATGGGTAAAGAAAGATAAGTGGTTCCAAAGGGAGCCTTGTGATTTCTTGTATCAATTAGCTTGTGTATTAATCAGGATTTTTATCAGTTGAGAGAGACAAAAACCCAGCTCAGACCAGCCTAAACATAATAGAGAATTTATTGGCTCATGTAACCGATGTTCAAAAGCTGATTGTGGCTTTAGTCATGGCTGAATCCAGGACCTCAAATGATCTCATTTGAATTCGATCTGTCAGCCCCACTTTCTTCATTATTGGCTTCATTCTATAAGCAGGCTGTCCTCATTAATGGCAGAGATAGTCACCAGCCACTGTGGGTTGTACAACCTACCAGCCATGCCACCCAGGGGAAAGAGTTCCTCTTGCGCACTCCAGAAGAAGTCCCAGGTATCATTCTCATTGTGCTGGGTTTGGTCACATGTCCAGTAGGAGCTAGGGTATGGTTCCTAAAGGAAAACTGGAAAATGAGATGTAAGGTAGGCAAAACAGTAGATGTCCACTATATCCTGGTTGCCGGGAAGCTCCTAGTTAAGGGAACATTTAAATATATAAACATTTTATTGATTTATAGGGAATTGTGCTTGGTGCTACACTGGATGCAGAACATGAGTTTCTGCTCTTAAGGAATTTTTAATCAAGTAGTAGAAATTAGAGGTATACATAAATAATGGTTACTGTCATGCATTGAACACTTACTGTGTGTCAGCAGGCACTTTGCTAAATGTTTTATATGCAATTATCCCTTTGTGAGGACAACTCTGTGAAAGTCACTTCTATTATTATTTGTATCCATTTTATCTATTTATATAAAAAAAACACTTAGGCTTAGGAAGTTTACGTAGCCTGCCCAAGGGCACACAGCTGTTGAGTAGTAGACTGGGGAGAAACCAGTCAGTTTTGACTCAATCCAGTGCTGTACTTCATCTTGCACTTGACCTATCAAGGGCTCTTTACATCCCACCCCTCTCCCACCCTTTTAAATTGGACAGCTTGATTCTAAATTTCTAAGAACAGTTTGATGGACTCAGCTCATCTTCTCCAGGACATCACAGTTGATGGCTGGTCTGTCCATTGGCCTTACTTGTATCATGTGACCATCCATCTTTGATCCAATTAGCTCACCAGTTGGCTGTCCACACAGGAGGTTCAGTCACCAGTGACCTCTTCTTTGGGTTTGATCCTTAGGAGCCCAAAGAAGGGGCATGGCAGCCCCACTGCTCTTTGAGTCCTTGCTCTCCTGAACCTCCCTCCTTCAGCCCCACTGCCAGTACCTAAGTTCTGATTCTCGCCATCTCTCTCCTGCCTATATGTTCTTCCTGTCTCCAGTGTCATCCTTATTTGACAGAGTGATTCTAAAAGGGAACTTTTATCCAGTCATTCCTTTTACATCTTTCAGTGCCTTCTATAGCCTTCAGGATCAAATCCAAACTCCTTTAACAAGACTTCTCAGGGCCTGAACCTTGCTTGCCTCTCCAGCCTTGTATCTAGACACTCCCTCACTTGCACCCTTTAGGTCAGCCTTTTTCTGAACCACTTAGAGTTCCTGGAGTGCATCATATGCTGTCTTACTTCTGGGCCTTTGTGCTATTTAATGTGCGTAAAACCACAATGCCCATCCTACCCACCTCCTCAACACCTAGCTAACAATTGCTTGTCCTTTTGGTGACACCTAATCTTAGAAAACTCTCAAAATCACCCTCTCTTCAGCCTGGGTTAGGTATCTATATCTCTTGCCCTCATAATGCCCTATAATTACTCTTATCAAAGCATTTATCACTTCATATTTTAAATGTATGCTATGTAATGTCTTCTTCCATTATAATTAAGTTTCTTGAGTCAGCTTCTCCCCCCCCCCCAATGACTGGCACATAGTAGGCTCTCAATAAGTAATTGTTGGACAGAAGAATGGATCTTGGCAATGAGTTTGTCACGTTTGTAGGTTCCTGAACTGGCCTCTTTTTCTCTGTTACTCCTTCCAGGACCTGGGTTTCAGTGATGAGACATGGGGTATGATGTAACCCGTTTCCAGGGGGATGTTGACGAAGACCTTATCTGTCCTATCTGCAGTGGAGTCTTGGAGGAGCCAGTCCAGGTGAGTCGGCCTGATGGCAGATTTGCTGGGGCAATAGGTGGCAGTGGAGTTAGTAGAAAATGTTCATATGTAATGGGATCAAGGGAAAGTCACTGTGTCCTGGCTCCCCCCCCACACACACACAGGAGAGGTTTGGTGCAGAGGATCAGTGGCGACTACAGGAGAAATGGGGCCTTCCTGAGTCTGTGTAGAAGTGGAAGCCACAGAAGTCCATGCTTTACGTTTTCTTCTGAACTCACTGAGATTTTTCTGCTGTAAAATGGTCATCTGTTTGTTTCTGTCTTGACAGTAGCTTGGGAACTTCCTTTCCTCTGCAGGGGCTCTGACTAGGTTTTGTCTTCCTACCCATGATTGAACTTCTGGACACTCCTGCTAAATTCTCTCTGAGTTTTGATGATGTAATGTTTTGGGTAGTCAACCAGTCTCCCTGCAGGCCTCTTCTGCCTACCTACTGTTTAATAAATAGGAAGTGGGGAACAGTATATACTGACCTGTTTTATTCCTGGGATTTATTGGAAAAACCAATTTTGACACAGCTGTGTACTCTGCATTTGATATGAAAGCTGCCACCTTCAGTAGGTCACTTCTCTACCAGCCTTGCCAGACAAATGTCAGTTGTGTCTTCCTGGGGCAAGTATGAGGAGAAGCTCATGACTAACAGGCAAGTATAATGAGTGAGATGAATTCTTAACAGTTATATTCCTGGAACATCATCCTGCATGGTCCTTATTGCCCGCACTCACTAAATATCAGTTAATCCTTCAGCTAACTAGAGATAATCCCATTTTCCAAATCAGGACACTAGTCAATGAAGTTAATGGCCCTTCCCCCATTCACTGCTTTTACAATTCACTACATCCCAACTCCCTTGATCCTTTGAGTTTATTCTTACTCTCCAGTTTTTTGGGGGTTTTTTGTTTGTTTGTTTTTTTAGCTGAGCCATCCTGCCACCTGTTGGCAGCTCAGTGGCAGCTCAGCTCAGGCCGTGAATCGAACCGGCAACCCTGTTGCTCAGAGTTAACACTCTTGAGTGAGCTCTTAACCAGCTGAGACACTCAGCCAGCCCCATATTCTTACTCTCCAGTTTTTAAGCACCCAAAGGAGCTCAGATGCATGAGCTGAATGAAAGTCAGCCTGTATTGCAGTAGCAGCTAGCCCTGGACCTCTCTCCTGATGAGGCCTTTGCAGCCTGCTACCATTAGAAGCAGACTGGCTGGGTGTGGAGCAAGCTTTGTATGCTGGTAGTGTCAAGAGGTCATGGGGTGTGTTGGTTCCCTCTCCACCCTGGCAGGGCCTTAACCTGTTTTCTGGCACTATCATTTGAGGTGAGTGACATGTGGAGAGGGTAGTGGCGGTTGGATTGTCTGTTAGAAGCCACCCCTCCCCCCACTTCCAGGGTTTACTTTCTGAGGAACACACCTCAAGATGCCAGGTTACCAGCCACATTTCCAAGGATAGAAGGCCCCTGCTAGGGATGCTGATTCCCTACATCATATTTATTTTTTGAATAGGTAATAAATTCATATAGTTCAGAAATCAAAACAGCATAAAAATGTACACAGTGAGAACTCTTCCATCCTTGTCCCAGTCCACCTAATCCCCTCATAGGTAACTATTAGTTTATTTGGTATCCTCCAGTGTGTTATGTGGGCAGATACAAGAAAGTGTGAGTATATAGTATATATATTTGCCTACCTTTCTTACATGAAATGTAGTACATTCTGCAGGGGTGGCAGGTTTAGATAGAATGGTCACAAAAGAGGTGACAGTTGACCTGAGATCTGAATGATAAGGGACCATTCATACTAAGATTTAGAGGAAGAGCATTTCAGGCAAAGAGGAGCAGCAAAAGCAAAGGTCCTGAAGCAGGAATGAGCTGAGTATGGACAAGGAACAGAAAGAAAGCCAAAATGGCCTAAGTACAGTGCTGGGAGCGTGATGTGAGGTGAGGAGAAGGCAGAGGCACGGGGCCAGATCGAGCAGAACGTTATAGATCCTGAGTAGGTGTTAGTTTATTTTAAGTATAATGGGAAGCCATTGTAAAGTTTTAAGCAGGGGAGTGATATGATCTGATTTGTGTTTTTAAATGATCACTCTGGTTGCTGAATGTAGAATGGAATATAAAGGGGCAAGGTGGAAGTAGGGAGACCAGTTAGAAGACATTTAGTAATATAGGTACGAGATGATCCCTTGAACTGGATTAGTGGCTATAGAGATGGGGAAAAGTAGACAAATTTAAGATTTTCTGGAGATAGGATTTGTAAGACTTTGGAAAGAATCAAATATAGTGAAAAAAATGAGTGAAAAATAAAAATCTACTGACAGATTAGTGATATTGAGAGTGACTTTTTACAAAGCCTTCTGTGTTTCAGTCTTTGGTTTTTATGAGCACTTGGGGGCATATTTTTTTTATTGTCCAACCTAGCAAAGTGATTGGGATATAGTAGGCACTCCATTCACTCATTCGTCAACATGCTCCAAGTGCCTACTGTGTTTGTCCTGTGCCAGGGGCCAGACAGCTTCTCCACAGAGGCCAGGGAATCCTCTCACTTTGAGGGAGAGATTAGCTTTAGAGGTTATCTGAGTTATCAAGGAAGTAGGCTGAAATATGAGCTTTATGAAACTGAAAAGAATGTGATTCTATGAAAAACCAGCCCTGTTTTGGAGAGTAGGGCTGGCCTTTGGGACACAGGGCAGAGCAGCCCTTAGAAAATAAGAACTTGGGCTCACAGGGAGAGAACTCTTAACTTCTCACCAGGAGTTCTGGGCTTTTTGTTTTGCTTTCTTACATTGACCTTTTGCCAGTAAATCTCTGCCCCCTCCCCTCTCCTTGTCCTTTACACCTTAGGACCCATTTTGAATTCTGTCCTCTCCATAAATATCTGCCCTGATGGACTCTCACCCTCCCCTGCATTCCTTTGGTAATTATTGTGTATGCAATCCAGTTGGCAGATAATGACTGCCTTCTGTCATCCCTTCTATTGTCCTGGAACATTATTTATATCTTATTGTTATATAACTTTTTACTTGTTTGTCTTATGTCACAATCCGTTTGGAATCTTGAGCACAGGAAACACATCTGAAACCTGTCCCCCTTGCCCAAAGTATTGTGCAGCTATACTCTGCCATGACCCCAGGGACCTCTGGTCCTGGAAGCTGCTCCAAGACTTGATTGGCTTTGAGTTATCACATCCAGGCTCTTAGCTCCTCCGGCTAATTCCCTTGTGCCCTTTTGCCCTGCTATCCCTCTAGGCACCTCATTGCGAGCATGCTTTCTGCAACGCCTGCATCACCCAGTGGTTCTCTCAGCAGCAGACGTGTCCGGTTGACCGTAGTGTTGTGACGGTCGCCCATCTGCGCCCAGTACCTCGGATCATGCGGAACATGTTGTCAAAGCTGCAGATTGCCTGCGACAACGCTGTATTTGGCTGCAGTGCTATTGTCCGGCTTGACAACCTCATGTCTCACCTCAGTGACTGTGAGCACAACCCAAAACGGCCTGTGACCTGTGAACAGGGCTGCGGGTAAGATCCTTACCTTCTGCCCCACAAGGATAAGGGCCGTCCTGTTTATATCCCTGTCTCCATTGCCCTGCTCACTGGCTGAGCAAGTCTCCTATGCATGTAGGCAAGGAGTGTCCTGGGCCTCCCTGGCTTCCTGCCCTAGGATCTCACTTTCATGCTGCTTTTCCAACTCTGATCTTTTTGCTCTTGCTTTAATATAAGAAGGGAGACAGCAATTCAGCAATCTACATGATAATACTAAAGACTGATTTACTTTATTCTTCCCTTTTGGTTCAGTATTACTTTCCCTTTGTCAGATTGACTACTCTAATTTCCAGCCTTCTCATATTTCCTCTTGCCCTATTTTTTTCTTTCTTTGGGGTGTGAAATATTTGATTAAATGCTGACAGCTAGGGCTGTGAATCTAGGGCTTCTCAGAGGAATGAGTGCACAGGCAGAATCTGTAGGAGGAAAGGAAAGCCATGTGGTAGATGAAACACTGTCTTATAGAGGGAAAGAAGCACAGAGAAAGTAGATAGCAAAGGGGCAAGTGGGGAGCTGGGGAGGAGGAAGTAAAGAGAATAAACAGGAGGGAGGCCTGAAGTTAGAGATAAATATTAGAAATTGGGGGTAGGAGAAAGTCCTCTCAGCAAGTTTCTGCCTTTGCCCACATGTCCCATTGAATGCTCCTGTTCTCTTTTCCCACCCTGGGCGGCAGCCTGGAGATGCCCAAAGATGAGCTGCCAAACCACAACTGCATTAAGCACCTGCGCTCAGTGGTGCAGCAGCAGCAGACACGCATCGCAGAGCTGGAGAAGACCTCAGCTGAACACAAACACCAGCTGGCAGAGCAGGTAGGGCCCAAAGAACGTGGGGAAAAACATGTCCCTACTATGCAAATAAACCACCTGTCTGCAGGTGATAAGCACCATGCAGATCTGTGCCTGTGCACCTAGCTGAGTGGATATTCTGCCTATGGCTTAGCAGGGAATCAGATTGAAGCTCTTCTCCCTTCCCTTTATCTCTTCAGTGTCTTTCACTCTTCAGTGTCCTTCATTCACTGAACATTTACCAAATTGCCTCTCTATGACGGCACTATGCTGAGCACTGCAGATACAGCTGTGACTGAAACAATCATGCCCTCATTCTCAGATAACTTTTGTCTGTCATCTGCCATCTGCCTTAACCATCACCCTTGGTTCTCTTTCCCTCCAACAGAAGCGAGACATCCAGCTGCTGAAGGCGTATATGCGTGCAATCCGCAGTGTCAACCCCAACCTTCAGAACCTGGAGGAGACAATTGAATACAATGAGATCCTAGAGTGAGTGTCACTCAGGGTATGGAGTTACTCCGTGTCCTGGTGCTGAGCCCTGAAAGGAGGAAGAGCAGGGGAGTGGCAGAAGTAGGGTAATAAAAGGGCTGGGCTGGTGCCACCACTTTTCAGATGTTGGGATGAAGGAGAGTGGCAGAGGAGAAGAGGAGAATCGTCAGCCCCAGTATAGGACCTCTTATTCTTTGGGGTGGATGGAAGGGAAAGCTTACCCAAGGATGCAATTTCTCCAGAACTAGGTGAGTACCCATATGTACAAATCCCTGTGTTAAAGGCTGTGGAGGGCTGGGAGGGCCAAAAAGAAATAGACATCATCCCTATCTTCAGGTAGCTTACAATCCAGAGAAGAGAGTGTGCAAATCCAGGAAAGGGATCTAAAAATGCAGCAAAAATGCAATGAGGTAAACAAGCGAAGTCCAAGATAATCTTTCACTTCTGGAGTACATCTCTTAGATTAACTGTTAAGGGTGAATCAATATACATAGTGGTGCAAATAGTGCTGCATGGCACAGTATAGAGGAAGAATTGCTTCACTCAATAAATATTTGTTGAGCACTTAGTATGTGCCAGGTACCATGTGTGCTAAGTATTGGGATTTTTAAGAAAAATAACAGGGACCCTACACTCGTGGAGTTTAATCTGGTGAGTAACGTGTGGTGACTCAGATGGGACCAACTACAGAAAAATTAGCAGTTTCTGAACCCATGATGGAAGGAGGGAGAGGATGGGTAGGGGGGAGGATAGGTTAAGCTAAGTGCAGAGTGGGTGGTTGTTGCTATTAGGGAAAGAAGCCGTGCAGAGAAAGGGGATGAGCTGGAATGACCACCTCCGATCCGCTCCACACAGGTGGGTGAATTCCCTGCAGCCAGCAAGAGTGACCCGCTGGGGAGGGATGATCTCCACCCCAGATGCTGTGCTCCAGGCTGTAATCAAGCGCTCCCTGGTGGAGAGTGGCTGTCCTGCCTCTATCGTCAACGAGCTGATCGAAAATGCCCACGAGCGGAGCTGGCCTCAGGGTCTGGCCACACTAGAGACAAGACAGATGAACCGGCGGTACTATGAGAACTACGTGGCCAAGCGCATCCCTGGCAAGCAGGCTGTTGTCGTGATGGCCTGTGAGAACCAGCATATGGGCGATGACATGGTGCAGGAGCCGGGGCTTGTCATGATATTTGCGCATGGCGTGGAAGAGATATAGTCACTCGGCGGGCTGCCAGGAAGAGATGGAAATCGGAAAATCTCATCACTCCAGTAGCTGGGCCCTGAGTCCTCCCCACTGTCCTTAACCCTGTGGCTTACACGGGAGCCACACGTCTCCCTGCTCTTCTGGCACTGACGGGCCCTGAGGCATTTTGCGCTCAGCCTTTTAGGTGGGAAACCTACATTCCTTCCTTTTCCTAATTCTTCCCCTAAGATGTCTGTAAATTTTCACCCTGGTTGGGAAAGTCCCCACTAGGATTCCTGGTTCCAGGTATTTTCAGAAAGCACAAAGATAATCATTTTCTCCAAGGATCAGGGTGGAGCGAGGAATCTCTAAATCTCTAATCGTTCCCATCCTCCAAAACCAGGGAATCTGAGCAGGCCTATTGACTAAACATCATTTAAAGGACAGCTCTGGGGAGCAGACATCCTGAAGAAATGGTAAGGGTGGAACCAAAACCCTAGAAATGAATAATAGGGCCAGTAACTGGCCATCACCGATGGCCCTGAGGGGAAGACTGGACCTCTGTGCCAAGCAGTACCTTGTTTAGCCCACCTTAAAGGTGCAGGCTCCCACTGGGTCTGCGGGTGTGCAGGTTGGGATGCCGAAAATGGCCAAGTGAGCTCTTTCCTACACTTTCTCTTCATTAGGGAATGACAGGAGTTGGGGAAGGGGGTTAGTCTGTTGGGGTGAACATGCTCAGCAAGAAGCAGTTCTCTAGCTTTTGCTGAAGTCGCGCAGGCACTGCCTCTGTGGTACAGGCCTAATACCAGAGACCCCTCTCCAGCCCTGTGATTGTAACGCATTATTTTGATAATTTCCTTTGGCCATTGTTGTTTATATTTCATTCCCTCCCACTTTTTTTTTTTTTTTTTTAAAGAATGGCCTGGTTATGGCTACCCCACTTTTCCAGCCCAGCCACCTTGTTGGCAATTTAATTTATTTACTTTTTTTTTTTTTAAAGAAAGGAAAAAGAAAAAAAATTAACAAAACTTAAAACTTTTCTCTTGCTGTTCCTATGGTGGGGATTCTGGATAGGGTGGGACAGGGGTGGGGGCTGTTTTATATTTTTCCTTTTCAGCACAACCTTTGGCTTTAATATAGGAAGGGCCAAGGGGGTCCTTGGCTGAACTTATAATGTATGCCCCAACCTCCGTAACCCCATTGAGGTGAGGAGCTTCCTCTGTTCCAGTGATGGATGTAACAGTCCAGCATCAATGCCTGTGCGTTCTGGCGAACTTTGCTCCTGGCCCTTCCAGGGTCTCACTGTAAAATTCTGGATTTCGAGTATTAATTTTGAAGAAATCCCTCACCCCATTTCCTTGGAGATATATAGCTGGATTCTACCTTCACCAGGAAAGGTGGGCTAGAAATTGTGTCTTTGTCTTTGAGTATAGGCTGTGCTTTCTCACCCATGCCCTCTGAGGACTTCAGCTCCATTTTAGGCTACCTGGGGCATTCCTTGACCCCTAGGTTGACTGGCAGAGTAACAGAAGGGGAGGGATAGTGGGTGTGATTATTTTAATTTGCAGGTGGGAGTGGGGTTGAAGAGAGATGGCCATATAACAGCTTCTTCTCTTTTTGGAGTTGTATTCTAGGCCAGCTTGCTATAGGTCTGGGTAGTTGGGTCATGACTCCATGGGGACTGGAGTGGAGGGATACAGCTTGAAAGGAGTAAGGAACAGTCGTATGTTCTAGCTCCAGGACATTGTGCTCAGGAATTTGAAAACGCTGCTATACTTAGTCTGGTTACTACATTTCTTCCACTCCCCACTGCCCCTGCCTGCCTTACCAAGGCCCATACCCTCCTGTCATCACCCTCAGATGGAGCCAGGAAGCTCAGTTCAGGCTTCCCCAGCCTTTGCACTAGTGTCTCTGCAGGTTGCTGGTTGTGTTACATGTGCTGTTCCATGGTGTTGACTGCACTAATAATAAACCTTTCACTCAATTCTCTAAATTCTTAATTCAGTATTACTCCCCTTCTTGTGAAGGTTTCTCCTCTGCTTTTGCCTTTTTCTCACCTTAATTCCCCTTACTTCTTCCTTGCTTTGTAACCTACCATAGTCTTAGAACTAACATGTTTTAGGAGGATGCCTGTCTGGGAGTAGTGCTCACCTCACATCTTCTTTTTCCTGTGTGCCCTCCTAAATCCTTCCCTCCTATCTCCTGTTCTATAGCAGCCAACACTCCAGTGATATGAACTATGTTCTGCCTTTGCCCCAGATTCCACATCTTGCCTAGTGCTCCTGGGGTTCTGGGACACTTGCCACAGAAGATACACATGTACCTTTCTCCCTTGTCCTGCCACTGCTTTGGAATCTGGAATTCCATTGCAGGCAGGGAACTCTCTACCCTCCAATGCCTCCTAACCAGCAAAGTAAATGTGAGGAAGGGAACGTGGAATGGCTACCTGCTGTGGTTGTCAGATCTCGATAAACCCTTACATGCTCCACCTTCTCCCTGTCATGAGAAAAAGGAAATATTATTTTCCCCAAAAAGTATATTTTAAATTCGTTGAGCATTTATCATGCACCTAATGTAAATCCAATAGTACTGTAGATACGCTAGTGGGGTTAAAAAGGGGGCATAGGGCATTTCTATACCAACTGAGTCTACTACAGTTCCGTACACACAAGGTCTGATTGTCAAATGATGAACACATCACAATATAGAGCATAAGAGGCAATATATGTACTCTAGTGTTACCAACAGTGCTTCCCCCCGAATTTCCTTCAAAATTACTTTCAGAACCTGCTGCTCATTCTTTTGAATGTCATGAATGGTACCAAATCTTCCTTTTAGGGTAGATTTGGGTTTGGGGCACAATATTCATTGAATATTCTACAAGGAACTCACTAGGGTGGGGATGGGGGAGTCCGTGTAGCAAAATGGCACCTACCTTCAAAGACTTACTCCCTAATGGAGATGAGTATATATATATAAAGACATAATAAATATGGTTAAGTGGATTTACAAGCAGTACATAAGCAAGGGAAAGAAAAAGCCACCGATTCTGATGCATACCAGGAAAGACTTTCAGAAGTGGTATTTGTTCAGAGGTTGGCAAACTACAGCGTGCATCCTGCTGTCTACCTTTTAAAAAAATTACATTGGAACAGCTATGTTTATGAGTTGTCTCTGGCTGCTTTTAGATTACGACAGCAGAGATGAGTAGTTGACACAGAACTATGGCACACAAAGCCTAAAATATTTGCTACTTGGTTCTTTACAGAAAGTTAGCCAACCCATTCTAGACTTTTTTTTTTAAGATTTTATTGGGGAATTGGGGGAGGAGAACAGATAAGTTGCTGTCCTTTTGTTCGTCGGTCTAGTTGAGGAGGACTTTGCTTCACTGGCCCACATTGGTATTATCATTGCACTATTCCCGGGTGAGGCAGTCGCTCGCCAGCCATTGGACAGCTGCTCATGGCAGCTCACGAAAGCACACACCAGCTGCCAGCCAGCCCCACTGCAGCCTACGCTGACTCACGGCAGTCCAGCTCCAGGTTGAGCTGTTGTTCACCATCTTAGCTGTAGAGGGCGCAGCATCACTGGTCCTCATGTGGATCTAAACCAGGGCCCAGCTGCTCAGAGCTGGCGTCCCAAGCCAACTCCTAACGCGCCACTCGACCGGCCCCCACCTAGACTATTAAGGTCAGGAGAATGGGCAGGGAAAGGAAAAGCGTTGGTGGTTTTAATTTCTTCAGTGTATAGATTTGAAAAATCAAAATATTTTATACATTGCCCAAATTAGCACTTAAAATTAATGTATCCTTAATCTAAGACAAACCTATATTCACACTTCCCCAATTGTCCCAAGAAAAGTACTTTTAGAGCTAGTTTTTGTTCAACCCTGGATCCAGTCCAGGAACTGAGCATTATACAGTAGGTTATGTGTCTTAACTCTTGCTCTCTCAATCTAGATTCCTGGAACAACCTTTCTTTGTAACACTAATTTATTGAGATTGGGCCAGTTGTCCTGGAGAGAGTGGTGTTTTGGATTTGACTGACTGCTTCTTCACAGTGT